TTCTTGCCGGTTCCAGCTGTGTGCCACTTGCAGGGGCAGAGGAAGCTCGCTAAGCGGTCATTATTAATGCATGTACCACCTGCTGGAAGATGCTGGAGAAGAAAGCTCTCCTTCCCATACAAATGAGCTGAAGGGTGCTCAGCATAGAGTGTCTCCCTCTGCCACATGCTCCAAGGAAAGTGCTGCTGCTCTGAGCAAGGCTGCCCCCTCCCCGCCGCAGGTACCAGCTCCCACTCGGCTCCCTGCAGAGAGCTCAGCCTGGCAACTATGCCGGCCTCGAGACACAGAGGCCCCACCTGTCTGGCAGGAAAAGCCTTAAGACTTCAGAGGCAGCGCAGCTGGGTCCACCTTTGCCCACTCATCCCCGACTCCAGGATTCCTGAGAAAGACCAGCTGCAGAGGCGGGAGAGGCAGCCACTGAGCTTGGGTCCCGGATTAAAGCCTCAGCCCACAATCCCCTGTCAGGTGTAATCTGAAATCTCTTCAAGCCTCAGCTGTCTTGACAATGAGAGTGTCATAGTCCATGGGGTGGTGGTGAGGGTGAAAAGATAAGGCTGAAGCAAAGAGCACAGTGTGGCACCTGCTGAGTTACTGGAATGCGCTGAATAGCAGATCCAATTATCCTGAGAGGTGGGGGGCGTGGCCTAGGACACCTCCCAAGGTGACAGGTCAGGGCCTCAATTATGCTTCTGTGGTGGGGCGGAGGAGCAAGGCAGGGGACCTCCAGTGCCCCTCTTGGCTGGACCCCTGCATGGCACCCAGCCTAGCCCTCTGCATGGGATTCAACTGATGCAAGCACGAAATCAACTCGAGGGATTGGACATGGTGGTGGGGTTCGGGGGGACTGTATCTATCCATCTCACACAGACTGGTGGGAACCCCACAATGTGCTGGAAACAAATCTCCCACCAACAGACACACATTATCAACAATCAGCTTAGCTTTTTAAACAGAGATGTTAAAAGTCTTGTCAATTGCTTTGTTTTTCTAAAGGCAAAGAGACAGAAGGAGAGAGATTCACAACCCAATGGGAAGTGGAGTGGGAACTGCTGGTTCACAACCCAATGCTGGCAAAGGCTGGGACTGAGCCAGAGTGAAGTCGGCCTCAGCGCCCCCTGGCAGGTCTCCTGCTCCTGACAGCCAAAGTTTCACATCCTTATCCCTATCCTTATCCTTCCTCCTTATCCCACATCCTTATCCCTCCCTGTCCCACCTAAAGGGGGTCCTGGGCTTGGATCTATCTATTTTCCCCAAATGACAGCACCTGCTGTTGGACATCAAAGAGTCCAGAATGACTGGGGCCAGCCTTCGTCCTGGTGGGGGTTGGGCCAGCATCCCACCTGGGAGCACTGTTTCGGATCCTGGTTGTTCCACTTCCAGTCCAGCTCCCTGGGAGAGCAGCAGAGAATGGTCCAGGTGTTTGGGTCCCTGCATCCATGTGGGAAACCCAGAAGTAGCTCTAGATTCTTAGATTCAGCCCAGTCCAGCCCTGGGCCATTTGGGGCCATCTGGGGCATGAACTAATGGATGAAAGAGTACCCTTGTTCTCTATTTCTCCCTCTCTTTGTCACTCTGATTTTTAAATAAATAAATTTTTTTTTTATGGAGGTAGGTTGCCAAAATAATGGGAGAGATGGATGCGAAAGTTCTTCTTTTAAAATTTATTTACCCAAAAGGCAGAGCCACAGAGACAGAGAGGGAGAATGAGAGAGAGAGAAGAGAGACAGACCACATCTGTTGGTTCACTTCCAAATGATCACTTGGGCCAGACCCAAGCCAAAAGCCAGGAGCTTCCTCTGGGTCTCCCATGTGGGTGTGGGGGCCCAAGCACTTGGGCCATCCACTGCTGCTTTCCCAGGCCATAAGCAGGGAGCTGGATTGGGAGTGGAGCAGACATATCTCAAAGCAATGCCATTTGTGGAGTGCTGATACAGGAGGCGGTAGCTTAACTTGCAATGCCACAGCGCTAGTTCGTAATCCAGAAGCTTCTCTTACCAAGTCTCACGGAAGCCCAGGAGGAACCCAGTTGACTCACCACCACCGGATGAGAGCCAAGTTTCTCCAGAGCCATTTGCTACTGAGAACTGCAACACACCTGACCCAGGACTCTAGCCCTGGCCTCATGGAAGATGCCCCCGAGTGAGACTCAAATGTCAACTTGGGGTCAGCTCCCAGGCTGGCTGTCTGCCTAGCAGCACGGGCTTTGCAGGGAGACAATTCCTGGCATGTACCAGGTCCATCTGTAGCATGGGCACAACAACAAACCATCTTTCTGGAAAGATCTGATCTGTGTGTCTAAGTCTACCCACTTTTTCTTGTTTCTAATAGGTGTCACCAGCGGCCACTTCCCCTCTGCCCTCTGCCCTGCTGCCTTCCTGCTTCCAGGGGGTGCTTGTGGGTGACTGTGTTAGGCTGCGGCTACTAGCATCATGTGTCCCCATCCTAGAGGCTGGGCCCTAAGCACTCTGGAAGCAGAGCTAGGATGAGCTGGACAGTGGATGCTGCAGGTCAGTGGAGGTGGGTGGGATACAGCCAGGAGCCCTGTTGCTTCCTGGGGTCCCCAGTGAACACTTGGAGCAGCAGGAACTGACACTGGGTGCCCGAGGCAGAGGCAGGTGGGAGTCAGAGCTCTGCAAGCCACTGATTGTTAAAGTTGGAAGAGCATGGAAGAGTCTTTTGGGATCTGGTTGATAAGACCCAGCCAGGATCTAATCTGGAGGAAATGGCTGCCCGACCCCAGATGAGGAACTTCCATTAGCAAAGGGTAAAGGTGGGGAGGACAACCCATCTTTCTCACATTCATGCTACCAGTAATGGAGAGAGGCTCTAGAAAATTCCACACTGCAGCCCTTCAGGGGACCCCACACTGGAGGAGGGAGACATGCTTACAGGTTCTTAGGAGGCCAGGCAACATCTAAGAAGGACAGCTGGTGACGACACAGCCCAGGGGCATCTGGGAGATGGACAGCTTGGCTTGGGAGGCGCATCTGATCACACAGGTCCCACAGTCACTCGGGGGTGAGGGTGCAGATGCATCCGATGCAGAACCCAAATCATGTCCACAAAGGACATAGAGGACGAGAGCACACAAATGTCCCTGGCCCAGGCACCATTTCCATGTCAGGGACTCTGAAGTCAGAAATGGTTCCCCAATGAAACATTTCAAAAGAGCGTGTCTCAGACCAAAGCTTGACTATCAAACAGGGACCTGCAGGATTGCTTGGGGTGAGGCTGGCCCAGAGCCTGACCTGTCCTGTGCCATATGTTGGGCCCCTGGCGAGCCTTCTAAGCACCCTGGGAGAGGCAGTCCCAGCTCCCTTTTTTGGGTGGGAAGACCGAGGCTCAGGAAGCTGACCCTGTGCTTCCCATGGGTTGTCCCACTCCTTGTCCCATCTTAACCCTCTTTCATGCACTTGTCAGGGCCCAAAGTTAGAGCACCAAAGCTCAGCCTCTTTACTGCAGAACACTGAGCCTCACCTTGACCTGACCTTCATGACTCAGAGTCTGGATGTCTGGGCCTGGCTTCTGAATTGGCAGAGACCCCGCCTCCCCTCTTCCCCTCCCCCAGAGGAAGGAGCAGCCCCGCCCCCTCTGAGGGGTGCTGGTCCACCTGCCAGCAGCACCTGGTGCCTGGGTTCTAGCTGCTGCCACCTTTCATTTCCATCCTGCCCATCCCAGAACCTGGCTCTCTAGGAAATTTTCAGCAAAGCAAACAGCTCCTTTGCAAACTTTCAGGTGTTTGGGCATCAGTACTAACAATGGGGACTGAGACTGTGAAGAGAACAGCCCTTTGCCCTCCCCAGGTGGTCTCCATGCCGATGCCCGAGGTAGGGGTGGGGGACTGCCAAGCCCTAGCCTGCTGGGGCCCTGGGGAGATGGTATCAGACATCTGGCCAGGGAGAGCTGTAACTAGAGTACATGCTGGCCGCCAGTCACAGACAAATGACAGGCTGTGCCACAGGCACAAGGGGAAATTGAGGCTGCCAAGTGATGGGAGTCTGGTCACACAGCCAGAAAGAGGCACAGCTGAGTCCCTGGAACAGCCTGTGTGTCCCCCCACCCTCCAGCAGAGGGTCCCATGGGACGCTGACCCTCTCTTGCCTGATCCAGTCTTGCTGCTGTTACCCCGTATGCACAGGGCACCTCTGAGCCTGCCTCTGCATCCTCGCTGCTATAAACCCAGGGCTGCCTCGCTCTAAGACGGTCAGAGCAGGCTCCTGGCTAGTCCTTGCCAGCCCTCAGCTGGGCCAAGGCCGTCCAGAGCAGCTACTTCTGGCCACCATGCTGTGCACGTCAACCCAGACCCACACCCGTGTGCTCCTGTCCCGTGGCCTGGGTGGTCATCCCTAGTACTGCTCACGGCCCCCCGCTATGGACTGCTCTGCGCTCCCTTCACACTCACGGGGCATGCTCTGCACTGAAAATTCCTGCCTTATTTGGAAATGGCAACATTGTGGATATAATTAGCTAAGATGAGGTCACGCTGTGGGAGGGAGAGTCCCTAACACTGAGCCACCATGTCCCTACAGAAAAGGAGAACCTGGGATTCAGACAAGCACTCAGAGAGGGCAGCGGGCAGATGGAGGCCTGGGACAGACCCTGCCTGATGAGCCCCAGGTGGTGATTTTATAAAAGCCTGCAGCGCCATGGGACGCTGTGCCTCGGCTGCTCTGTACCCGGTTTGCTGTGCTGCAGTTCAGCTGCCCTGTGCCTTTCCTTAACTCCTGCACAGGCACATGAAGGGCAGACTCCCTCCTGGCCTACAGAGCTTCAGCTGCTCAGGGCCTCCTCCTGGTCCCCAGCTTTAGCCAATTAACTACCTCCCCCATCAGATGAGCAAGATCCCCTGGGATTGCTGGCTACATCCTGGATCCTCACCCCAGCCCTGCACCTAGAATGCCAGGGCTTTGACAGACTTGTAGCATAGGGGACACAGCCCCAGGTTCTGCTCAGCTCCTCCACCCAAGTCCACCTCCTCCAGGCTGCCCATCGGGTCCTACCTGGGTTGCTGAGGGCCATGGAGTCGTAGATGAGCTTGCAAGTCTTGAGCAGGATGGAGATCTTCTTCTCAGGCGAGTAGGCCTTGTGCATGCTGGTGAATTTCTGCAGGATCTTCTCCATGGTGGGCATCTCGGGCACGCTGGTGGTGATGCCCAGGTCGGTGGTGGTGGTGGCCAGGACCACCAGCTGGTTGTCCTTGAGCTGCTGCAGGGAGCCATCCTTGCTGTGGATCTCGTACAGGCTGGAATCGATGGCCTCCTTCAAGGGCTTCAGGACGCACTTGTACAGGGCTGACTCCACAATCGCCTCTGCAGGTGCACAGTGGCAGGCGAGCATGAGGGCACCCTGCCAGGGATCCTGCTGCCACCCTCAGGCCCTGGTCCCTGGAGGCTATGCCCACAGCCCTGGCAATTAGACCCTGGGGTTCTGGCACATGCAACGGGGGAGTGTGCGATACAGGAGCCACACAGCATACATTCTGGCACAGGAGTCCCAGGGAGCATTTATAAAAGCACCAGGGAAGACAGAAGGCAAAGATGAGTTTACTTTGGTGCAAAATGATTCTCAGATCCATGTAGACTCCTTGTAGGCAGGCAGGGGTTTCAAAATGGTTGCACCTAAAATTCTTACTTTTTTTTTTCAAAGATTTATTTATTTCCATTGGAAAGGCAAATTTACAGAGAGGAGATAGAGAAAAAGATTTTCCATTCACTGGTTCACTCCCCAAGTGGCCACAATGGTGAGAGCTGAGCTAATCTGAAGCCAGGAGCCAGGAGCTTCTTCCTCCGGGTCTCCCATGTGTGTACAGGGTCCCAAGGCTGTGGGCCATCCTTGACTGCTTTCCCACTTTTCCAGGCCACAGGCAGGGAGCTGGATGGGAAGTGGAAGATCCAGACACAAATCAACACTCATATGGGATCCTGTTGTATGCAAGGTGAGGGTTTAGCCAATAAGCCATTGTGCTGGGTCCAAAGCCTTCTCTTTAAAAGCAATGTTTGTGTAACTATTCAAGAGTTAGAAAGAGAGAGACAGAGAGAGAGGGCTCACCACTGCTACAGTCCTTAAATGCCCAAACAGCTGGAGCTAAACAGCCAGAAGCCCTGAGCTCAATCCAAGCCCCCGCCATGGGTGGGAGAGTGGGGAGTCCGTCACTTAAGCCATCAGCACTGTCTCCCAGAACTTGCTTTGCTGGGAAACTGGACTCAAATCCAGGCCCTCCGACATGGGGTTAAATGCCTACTTCCAAGTTAGCTTTTATTTCCATTATTCCACAGACTCAGAAGTCGCTTCCTCCTGACCTGTCACTGTATCCTAACGCTTTCTACACAGCCTCGCATACAGTAAACCCTCACAGGGCTGCCCATCCACACACATCCACACAGTGCCCTATTCATGCTGGAGTTGTGCAGTGGACAACCCGGGCAGCTGTATGCCAAGGGACAGGGTACTCAGTAAATGACTGGTGGAAAGACTCTGGGATGTTGCTTTTTCAATACTTAAGGCTGGGCAGGCACTGGACATAGCAGGTAACTCGTTGGCTGGAACACCTGCATGCCATATTACAATGCCTGAGTTCAAGTCCTGGCTGTACTCTGATTCCCGGTTCCTGGTAATGCATGCCCGAGGAGGCAGCAGGGAGTGATGGTCAAGTTGTTGAGCTCCTGCCCAGGCATGCGGGAACCTTGGACTGAGTTGGCGGCTTAGCCCTGGCTGCCGGGCATGTGGGGAATGAATGTGCAGACGGCTAATCACTGTCTTTCAAATCAGTTACAAATGTGGCTAAATGGCAGGTTGAACACATAAATGAATGCCTGACTCTATTGAAAGAACACTTAGTTGTGTCTGATTTCAAAAACCTGATGCTGCCTGGTGGTGACCTGTCCTTTGCAGCTAGCCTGGTCCTTGCACTACCGCCACGATGGCCACTACTGCCCACCTAAAGACAGGGCTGCACCCAGCCCCTCAAGCTCCTCTCCTGTTGGGGCCACCAGATCCCCTAGGCACCTCTGGGTGCAGGGGCAGAGCGAGAGGAAGGGTCAGTTCACCGGTCTGAAGCTGAGCCCTGCACTGGCTCTGTGTCATGGGGATGATTCACCGAGCAGGAGCCCAAGGCTGCTGGGCTTAGGTGGTCGTCATTGGAGTGTGGGATGCCTGCACCTGCGGCTCCAGCCTCCCACTCCTTGGGGGCCATCTGCTGCTGGCCGTGCCCTGTCCCAGCCGCTGGCTCAGCCTCCAGAGGGAGGATGTGCCTGCTACTTCCTCCCTCTGCCTGTCCCACCTGCAGGTCACTCGACCTGACCTCCGCAGCCCTGTGGTCCCCTGGCTGCAGCCCCCAGTCCATGCCCGCAGCCCTGTGGTCCCCTGGCTGCAGCCCCCAGTCCATGCCCGCAGCCCTGTGGTCCCCTGGCTGCAGCCCCCAGTCCACACTCTTCTGTCTCTCTGGAAAGCAAGCCCTCCCATCACTCTCTCCTACTGCATAGACCTTTCTTTCTCCTCCTGTAGACCCCAGCTCTTAATGTCTCTCTCTGGAAGGCAGGGCCAGTCAGAGTTCTCTGGGCCACTCCAAGATTCTCATGTCCTTCCACACTCCTTCATGTCCTTCCATGCCCTCGGGCTTCTGACTCGGATGATCTCACCCAGTCCCATGGCGTGATTTGTGCTGACAACCCTCAGACGTTTATCTCCAGCTCACACTTCCCCAGAACTACATACTTGGCTCTCCAGAGCTTTAGAATGAGCTCCCAGGTGGCCCTCCTGTCTGGGACAGACGCAGCTGCCCCGTCCTCATTCTGCCCCATTGCTCACTGCTCAGCCAACCGTGCGGCTCCATCTTCATGGCAGACCCAGAACTCAGCCACCTCTGTACCTGCACTGTCTCCCACACCACTCATTCTTGGACTTAAACCCTGTCACTTGAACCTGTCTTTGGGAAAAGTCAGTGCTGGGTGAGGCGCAAGGCCCTTGTGACCTCTGTCAAGCCAGTGGTTCTCTGAGCTTGTGCTCACTGATAGGTCCTCCCCTGGAGCTCACTTAGCAAGCTCTGGCTGTTTGCTGGTCTTCCCTTGCCCATCCCATCCCTGAGGATGGCAACTTGGGGCTGTCTTGCTCACTGTGTTCTCCAGTCCCGAGGCAGTGTCTGAGGCACACATAAGATGCTGTCAACTGACCCACGCAGATGGCGAGCCCTGCGGGGCACAGCCAACTTCATTGTGACTCTGTGACCCAGCTTATGACCTAGGTCCTAGGTTGCTGCAGGGGAGCCTTGCTCAGGGAGCCCCTGAACATCCTGCCGGGCAGTCCCAGGACTCCTGTACCACGTACACAGCACTGGTCTCTTAGCAAGGCAGTTGTTGGGCTCAGATCTCAAGTCCATCCTACTGCCAGCCAGTGGGTCAGCTTCTGCAGTCTGTTACCAAAATCCCACTGCCCCAGGGTAGGCTGAGGAGCCACTTGGGACACCTGCTCCTACACTGGAGTGACTCTGTTCAAATCTTGTCTCTGGGGCCTGGTGTGATGGCTCAGTGATTAAATCATTGCCTTGCACACTCCGGGATCCCATATGGGCACTGGTTCATGTTCCAGATGCTCCATTTTCCACCCAGCTCCATACTTGCAGTCTGGGAAGGCAGTAAAAGATGGACCAAAGCCTTGGGACCCTGCACCCATATGGGAGACCCAGAAGAAACCCATGACTCATGGCTTTGGATCATGAACCAATGGATGGAAGATTTTTCTGTCTCTCCTTCTCTGTAAATCTGCCTTTCCAATAAAAATAAATCTTAAAAAAAAAACAGGAAAAAAAGAACAAATCTTGGCTCTGCCCCCCAATTCTAGCCTCCTGTGTACCCCAGGAGGCAGCAGGTGGTAGCTCAAGGACATGTATCCCGGCCACATTTGTGGGAGACCTGACTTGAATTCCCATTTCCTGACTCTGGCTTGGCCCAGTCCCGACTGTGCAGGGGTGACTGGGCCATAGCCAAGCCAGCAGACTGCATGTCTCTGTCGGCATGTCTTTCTACCTTTCCAAGGGGGGAGATGGGGACTGGTGTCATGGTGTGCTAAGCTGCCTGGAGCGCCGGCGTCCCAGACCAGAGCACTGGTTTGTGTCCCAGCTATTGGGCTGCCGATCTAGCTTCCTGCTGGTGCTCTTGGAAGGCATCAGATGGCAGTCTGAGTGCCTGAGCCCCTGGCACTCATGTGAATAATCTAGACGGAGCTCAGGTTAAGGTTAGGTGAGGGTTAGTGCCTAGCTTCAGCCTAGACAGCCCTGGCTTGATGTGGTCATTGGAGGGGTAAAGCAGTCTCTCTCTCTCTCTCTCTCTCTTCCCCCTCTGTCACTCTATCAAACAGATACATAAATCTTAAAAAAAAAAAAAAAAAAAAAAAACAGAAAGAAATCCACAGCGCTGTGAGACGTTATCACTTCTCACTTCTTTTCCAAGAAGGATTAAGAAGCCACCGTGTGGCAGAGGTCCACATGCCCCTTCCTGTGGCCTGCAGTGACCCTAGAGTGGCCAAATGGGGGTGCCAGGGAGGGTGGCACTTGGCGGGCTGAGGGCAGTGGCTGCTCACCAAGTAACCGGTGCCAAGGAAGCTGGTGTGTTCACCACCGGGCCTTTCAAGCATTTACCTAGGGGTGAAGTGGAATGCAGACACTTGCTCACTGTAGGTCTCCATCAACAAAGGCTTGAGAGTGGCTGGTGGTGGAGCAGGCTGGGTGAGGGCGGGGAGGGTGACCAGACAAGGAGTGGGCAGAGCAGTGAGTAGGCAGGAAAAGGAGTGAGAGGGACTCCCAAGTGCTGGCATCAGAAACTGAGTCACACAGCAGTCCTGCCTTGAGGCACAGGGGGCACAGCCTTTGTTGCCCTACAGCGACAAGAGAGGAATTGGCTGTGGGCAGTGAGGAGGTGTGAATAATACAAAGCCTGTGAGATGGTGCCGGTGGCAGCTTAGGCCACTGAGCCACAACACCAGCCCCCAGAAACACAAGAGATCCTTAAAGAGAAAAATATCTATTAGGAAAAAACTACGCTCAGGCTGTGTGTGTGTGTGTGTGTCTGCGTGTGCCCTCCCCCCCCAAGCTGTCTTTAAACTTCAGTAATGCACTCTTGTATGTAGTTGGATTTGATTTTCTAGCCAAGGGTGTGGCTCTGTGTCCACAGCCAACATTTGGCGCCAGCTGGGGAGGCCACACGTGTCCCTTTTTTGGGATGAGAACGGGGTACCGGACCCTCCCCGTCCTCCCACCTCCCCTCCACACTGACCGAGCTCCTCCTCTGAGTGCAGGGCGGGGTCCACCAGGGCTCTGAGCTCCGTGCTCTGCAGCAGGTAGCTCTTGAGCTGGGTCATCATGGTGCGGATCTCCTGTAGCATCTCGGTGCTCGAGTCCTGGCGTGCCATCATCTCCAGGCTGTACACCTTGTAGTCCTGCACCAGGCTGCCGAAGTACGAGGTCTTGTCCTGCGCCAGCTCCACCACCCGCTTGTAGAGCTTGCGGTCGTTGGAAAGCAGGGCCTGGAAGACGCTGGTGAAGCTGGCGAAACTGAGGCGGTGGCGCGCCTTGCCCAGAATCATCGTTGGCTTCTTCTTCACGTTGGGGAGGCTGAGCTGCTCCAGCTCCTCCTCCGTGCTGCTGGTGGAGTAGGAATCCTGATCCCCGGCCAAGGCTGACGCCCCCGAGCTGTCCCGCAGGGAGGCCAGCGAGCCCTTGAACTCTGGGGAACTGTGGGGACGGGCACAGGCCTGGGCATGGTGGCGCTGCGGGGCAGGGCTCTGGACTTCTTTGGGGACTCCCGGCGTGGGCTTCTCCTCCGGTGGCGTGGGGAGCCTGGCGCTCTCAGAAGGGCTGGGTAGGGCAGAGGCCAGCTGTCGGGAGACCCGCTTCTTCCTTGGGGGCGGGACTGGGGGTTGCCTGGTCTTTCCTGGCAGCTCTGGCACCACGCCCGGATTGTTGGCCTTGGTTTCTGCTTCCTGGCCCTGCTCTGCTGTCCTCTGAGGCTGGTCCCCAGGGCTGCCCAAAGTCCCCTGGGGAGGCGAGCTGAGGGGCGTCGCTGCCATTCCCCCACTCTGGTCCTCCAGGGACGCCCTCTCCGAGAGGCGGCGTCTGGGGGGCACGGCGGGAAGGCCCTTCTTGGCTGGCAGAGGAGGAGCAGCTGCCAGGGGCGAGGGGCTGGGGGCTCCCCCGGGCGGCACCTCCTCCTCCCTGAGAGCCCCCAGGCTTGAGGCAGGATGTGGGAGCCTCTCGCAGGCTGTCATGGGTGGCTGGCTTGGGTGGTCTGGGGGGCCAGGAGCATGGGGGGCAAGAAGGGGGGCTGCGGCTGGGTGGTGGAGAGCCGGCGGAGGACCCACAGGAGCAGCAGCAGGGAGCACGGGCTGCAAGGCAGGTGCTGGAGGTGGCGGCGGTGGTGGTGGGCGGCGTGGAGCCCACGGGGTGGTGGGTGAGATAGCATCAGAGGTGGGGGACGCGGGGCATGCAGGACAGCTCCCGGGGGGCGGCTGGTCCGAGGGTAGGGCTCCCCCGTAGTCCTCGATGAAAAGGGGGTTCACAAACCACAGGCGGTCACTTCCTACCGACAGCTCTATTTCGCAGGAGCAGTTCCCAGACAGCACCGGAAACCTGGAGCTGGCAGCCGGAGGGGCACCGGGGGCCGGGTCTCGGGGTGGCTGTGCCGGGCTGTCATGACCTCGCGGCCGGGTGTTCAGCGAGGAGTCCCAGAAGCCTGTGGGAAGCAGCGGGCGACAGGCGTTCAGCCTCCAGGCCACAGCCCCTCTGGGTGCATCTGAGCCTCTCCCACCACTTCCTGCCCCCGAAGGGGGGAGGCCCCATGCCTTCCTCCCAGCAGCACTGGGGTGGGGCTGCGGAGGTGACACGGCTCAGCCTTAGTTCCGTCTCTCTCTGAGTTGAAAGTCCACCCTGGGTACAGCAGGGTGTGTAAGCCGGACCATGCTGGTATGGTCAGAACGGTGGGGACAGAGAGGAAGTGTGGCCTGGAGGTCCAGCCCAGGCATGGTGCTTGGCTTTTATTGCCTATATATTTTTTAACACCTAGAGGAAAAATCTTCATTATTGACTTATTTTTTAATTTGAGAGGCAGAAAAAGGGGGAGATTTCCTATCGGCTGATTGACTGCCCAAATGTCTGCAATGGCTGGGACCAGGTCAGATTGAAGCCAGCAAACAGGAACTTAATCCAGGTTTCTCACACAGGTGGCAGGGACCCCAGTATCTAAGCCATCACCTGCTGTGTCCCAAAATGCTGCATGCTGGCAGGTGCCTGGGAATTGAAACCAGGCACTCCAGCGTAGGATTCAAGTGTCTTCACAGCCAGGCCAGATGCCCACCTGTGCTGTGGGGTTTTTAAGGCCTCATACTACCACCTTTAAATCGCAGGTTCCAACAGAACCTGGGACCTGGGGTAGAAAGAGACACCATCATATCAGAGAGGGCCACCACAGCTGTTACCCACAGGAAGGTGGTGGGGCTGCTGGGATCAGGCCTGACTGCCCGAGTAGGGGAGCTCCACCTGGATGCTAAGCAAGTGGGTCTGGGCTCCATGTGGGACAACAGCATTTTGACCGACTCCAACCTCAGCCCACAGCTGCCGCCAGCAGGACCAGCCTGACTCAGGAGTGTGGGTCTTGGTGGATACTCAGGGCCCTCGCCTAAGGGCCTGCGACACAGTGTCCAGAAGGCACTTTCAATGGGTTCATAGGCCATGCTGAGTTCAGGCAAGCGGCACCTCCTGGACAGACACACCAGGCACCCAGGCACTCCTTGGTCAGTTTCAGAAATTACCAGGCAGGTGCATAAGTGCTGGGAACGGGGTAAACAGGTGCTCAGCGTTGGCTCCCTCCTTCTGGGCCAGATACATCCACACCAAGACCATGGCTGCTCTTTCCCTGGGGTATCTCAGGTTATCTCAGACTTGCTGCATGTCACGGACAGAGCTAAGCGGCTCAGCAAGCTGGAGTTCAGGGAGTGGGCTGAGGTCCAGGGTAGGGGAGTGAAGGGTCTGGGATTGACCCCAAGTGGGACCGGCTCTGAAGCCTGCATGTGCACCCCCTTCTTCACAGGAACTTGTGACACTTCCTGCTTACGACTCTCCCAGTACCCAGCACTGGCGAGTGGCGTGTGTATGTGTGTGTGCGTGCATACCCTGAACCGGGAAGCACCTGACACTAGAAGAAAGGAGACCAGTGGGTCACAAACTTTCCACTCACACAACCAAGGGGCTCCTGAGAAATGGATGTACCCAGCTACAGGGTCTCCATTCAGTCCTGTCCTGGCAGAGACCCCATGTCTGGAGCCGGTGGGGAGGAGAAGGTGACATGGTTAACAGCTGCCTCAGTCACACAAGGACCAACTGTGACATGTTGCTTTCCAACATGTGAAGCTCTGTGCACGTGACAGTGTGTAAGGCGAGCTCTGCCACGACCTGGGCTCTGAGGCCTCTAGGGCAGGCTCCCGCTCCAGGCGCTTTGCACAGTCCACACAGGTGTGCCGGTCCCGTGCAGGGGTAAGTGAAGTGCAGTCAAGTGGCCGGGGGCAGCCAGGGTGATCCTGGCAACCTTCCGCATGGACCAAGGTTGGATGTAGGGCATTTACCTCCAGGTTCCCACAAGACTGTCCCTTTGGCAGTGTCGTGGCAGCAGCGTGGGAACTGCCCAGCGGTGCCTGGACACTGCCTCCCATCACTGCATGCCTGGGTCATGGCTGCAGACCCCTCTCCCATCCCCCCTTCCCCTCCCTGGAATGCCATGTCAGACCAAGCAGTCTGTTGAGCTAGTTTCTTCAGCCAGCGTTCAGCACGTCGTGTGCTGCCCCACCTGCAGGTCTTGGCTGAAGCCGTGCCCTCTGCACAAAGTCTCCCGCCCTCTCTACTCCTCTGAAGAGTCAGGTCATAGTGGCCTGTTTGGTGGAGGCTTCCTGGTGCCTTTTCGTGTCAGCTGCCCTGTCCTGTGTGCCCTGCCCCCGTGGGTATACACCTTGATGACAGTGACCAGCACTGGGCCTGTCATTCTCTGTTTCTGATACCGCCACAAGATTCTGACTTTCAGAGGGAATGATAACGCTGCCACCAGGTGCCTTTCAGCCCCTGTGACGGTGTGGATTAACTTCAGGAGGAGGTAGGGTTTGAGGTCTAGGACCCTGGGTGGCCCCAGGGAAGATGGCTGAGGACAAGAGCGAGAGGAGGGACAGGTGTTTGGTGTAGGGGCAGAGACATTGCTCCAGGGATGCCCACAACCCCATATTAGAGTGCCTGATTTGAAGTCCATCCCAGTTCCCTACTAAGGCACACACTGGAAAGTGCTGACTCAAGCACTTGGGTATCTGTCATCCAGGAGGCCCAGGTGGCGTTCTGGGCTTCTGGCGCTAGCCTGGCCCAGCCTTTGTTGCTGGAGGCATTTAGGGAGTAAATTTCTGTCTCTTTCATCTTTCCTGTTCAAATGAAATGAAACAAATATATGCAAATAGAAAAAAAAACACAGAGACAGTTGGAAGATGAAGGCAAAAAGTGGCCAGTGGTGCCCTGTCCCTCAAGGGGCTGGTGTGTTTGCTTCCTTCTGCCCAGATTTGGCTTCTGAGAGGAGGAGAGCAGAACTGGAGCTCAAGGAAATGGGTCCAACCTGGTGGTGCATCCTAAAGGCACAGGCCTCCGAGCCAGCGCCACTCTGAAGCGAGGGGAAGCTGAGAGCTGAGGGCCTGGTAGGGAACCCCAGAGGCAGTGCAAGGCTTTCTACTTCAAAAAAAGGAAGCAGGCAATCTTTCTGCAGCCTGCAGATAGCCAAGGCCAAGGAGAAGCAGAACTCGGTGTCATGCAATCCAGTGATTGGTACAGCTGTGGGCATCAATGCCCAGTGACACCATGCCAAGTCTGGCTGAGCTGCCAGAGGCCCTCCAAGAAGGATGTGTCTCTCCCCAGCCGCTGTGCTGTCCTCTGTTGGGAATAGCCAGTGTGCTGGCCTGGCAGCCTGCTGAGCCTCAGCTTGAGCTATCTCTACCACGCGATCACACCTGCGGTCCCCAGGACTGGGGTTGTGCCAGGTACTGGAACCCAAGCCCTCAGGGCAAACTGAGGCTTCAGTCCTGCAGAGTCCTGGGTCAGCAATCGCAGGGCAGAAAAGAGATGGAGAAGGTGACAGAATGTTCCAGCTGCTCTGAAAACAGCTCAGACATCTGAGTTCAGGGGGCACATAGTTTGGTGTGTGTCTCAAAGATGAGCTATTGGGCAGCCACTCAAAGTCACATTGTCAATGCATTTTTTAATAACCGGGACAATCTTCATTGTGTGATGTGAAGGAAAAAGCAAGTTTCATGCACATTTGGACAATTATGGAAACATGTCTTTTCTAAAACATATTTAAAAATACTGGGGCTGAGGAGGTGGTGCAGTGTGTTAAGTTGGCCTTTGATGCCAGCATTCTATATGGTCACAGGTTCGAGTCCTGGCTGCTCCACTTCCAATCCAGTTCCCTGCTAATGTACCCAGGAATGTAATACAGTGGAAGATGACCCAAATACTTGGGCCGCTGCCACCCACATGGGAGACCTGATGGAATTAAAGGTTCTAGGCTTTGGGCTGGCTCAGTCTCAGCCATTGCAGCTATCTGGGATTGAATCAGCAGTTGGAGGACCCCTTTCTCTTCCTCTCTCTCTAACTTCTTTTCAAATAAACAAACAAAAATTTAAACATGTTAAACAATGCCAACATGTCTTAAATCTTTGCCAACAAACGTCACTCTTTAAATGACAGCACACATTATTCTCTAAATTGCACAGGGGAGAGATACACCCTCTGTTGATTTTGTAGCCACAACCAATCTGTAAGCTCTTGCATCCCAAGATCCCACAGCATGCAGCCTGTACTTTTGGTCACCTACTTTTCCTGGTCAACCTTGGACTCGATTGCATCAGCTCAACCCTGAGCCATCATGTGGTGCTGAGCTTGCGAATCCACCAGCTCTAATTGCAGTGACATCAGCCCCATCCACACAGCAGGGCAGAGTGGCTCTCAGTACTTACCACCTCTTACTCATTCTCTAAAAAGATTCAACATAAAATTGCTGTGTCTGGGGTAGTGGCCTGCTGGGATGCCTTCATTCCCTATTAAGGTGCCTGGGTTTGGATCCAGGTGCTGTGCCTGATTCCAGCTTGTGGCTAATGAGCACCACCAGGAGGCAGTGGTGACAGATGGCGTAGCAGAGTCCCACGTGGGAGACACGGGTGGTGGTCTCAGCTCACAGTTGCAGCCTGGCCCAGCCCTGGCTGCCATGGACCCATCTCAGCAGATGGGATCTGTCTGTCTGCTTCTCAAATAACTAAGTAAAGAATTTTTAGAATATTGAAAACTGCTAACGTTGAGGACAGATGGACTAGCCTCATGAAGTCACAGAAATCGTAAGAGCACCAAGTGAACAGGAAACCCAGAAAACCTTTGTTCTTAGCTGGCTACTTCTTGACTCCAAGCTCCAGGAGAAAGCTGCAAGCCAGAGACACAATCCAGTCACACCCAACTAAGGGCAAGCCGCAAGCTGCATTTCCACAGGCCGTGCAGGAACCAACCATCTTGGAAGAAAAAATTCTGACACCTGTACTAGTGCCGGAATTCCCGTTGTTCTCAGCCTCATCCTGTTCCAGTTCTTGTCAGTTAAACAAGCTGCTGGACCTTACTAAAAGGAAAAATGTACAATCGCAGGGGCTGGCACTGTGCTTCAGTGCAGGCTAAACCACTGCCCATGATGCTGGCATTCTATACTGTACAGTGGGTTCAAGTCCCGGCTGCTCTACTTCTGATCCAGCTCACTGCTATTGCGCTTGAACACAGAGCGTGGCTGCAGTACTTGGGTCTTTGTTGCCCATGTGAGAGACAAGGATGCAGTTCCATGCTCCTAGCTTCAGCCCAGCCCAGCCCTGGCTGTTATAGCCATCTGGGGGAGAGAATCAGGGGATGGAAGATCTCTTGGTCTCTCTGATTTTCAAATAAAAATACCCCAGTCGTTTAGTTTCTAGCACATTCACAGAATTGTGCAACCATCACTGCAACACTCTGAGAAAATTTGCATCAGTGCAAAGAGAAATCCCTTACTCACGCCTGACCACTCCCTGCCCTCTGTGCCCAGCCCCTGGCAGGCCTGTCTCTATTCCGAACTCTTTGCACAGACAGAATCAACACTGACTTCTCCTCTAAGCATGATGTTTTCAAGATTTCTCCAAGCTGTACCATGTGTCAGTACTGCATTAAAAAATATATGTGTGTAAATATGTGTTTCCAATTCTTGGGGTTTCTCTTTCCTGGTCCATATGCGGGCTTTTGTGGGAATAAATGAGATAACTCATGTGTGGGCCCATGTCCATGAAGTTGCCTCTTGCTGTCCTTCGGTTTCCCCTGGATCATGAAGACTCCTCATGAGGCTGCAGAGAGACCAGCAGCCAGGTGGGACTAGGGGCTGGAGTGGGCACCTGGCTGGTGAAAGCAGAACCGGGGAAGGCACAGCCTGGACACAGAAGGCTGCCACTGCCCACAAAGCCTGCTCATCTTCCATCTCCGCTTCTTGCAGACTGACTGCCGGCCTTTCTCTGGGTCTGTTGTCATCCACACCCCTTGGCATGCTTTCTCTTCTCTGCCATGAAGGACTCCCTTGCCTAGGCGATGCAAGACACACTGAGCACAATGCAGGGGGCACACAGGCTTTTGGTACACTTCACTGTTGGCTTGCTTATCATCACGTTGGCAAGAGAAGGCTGACGGGGCCCAAGCCTCTGGCATGTGACAGCGCATGCTCGTCCGGTTCCCACATCGCTGGGGCATTCAGGGGACACACTGAAAAGTGCACCTTGCCTTGGCTCTGGGAACCCCGCCTTGCGTCCTGCGCCAGGGACCCTGGGTCTGCACAGAACATGCTGGTGCTGGAGCTGCCACAGGAAGTAAGTGCTGCCAGGTGGATCTGAACTGCTGTGGCAGCCCAGAGGGTAACCCCACCTCCCTACTTCTGCTTCCAGGGGAGGGGGATTGCCTTCCCTGGGAGAGGGGCAATATGTGTGTCACATATACAATTTCCTGAGCCTGGGGGCGGCCAAGCCCCTTTGGTATGCAGGCCCTGTGTGTGTGGGGGGGGCAATCAATCCTGGGATGCCTGCCTGCACCCCACATACAGTCGGCTGACTCACCCCACCAACATGCCCTCATGCACCCCACCAACATGGTTCCACACTGGCCAGCAGCAGCTTGTGAGGCACAGCTAAGGAGCTGGCACCAGCCCTGGCTTTGTCAGGGGTTCCTTGCCAGGGCTCTCAGCTGGGATGAAGTGTGGTCTTCTATCAATGCATTTCCTGCAAGGGTCACCCAAGACAACACCACGTGCTCTGCTATGGTCAGAAAGCATCATCAATGTCACATAAGATGTCAGGGAAGCTCGCCAGAAGAAATACAACATATGCACAGACCAAAGCTTAGCATCCCTGGACAAGTCACAACCACAGGGAGCTGTCCACAACCTCCCTCCGTCAGAACGGTGAGCATCCTAGAGTGGGAAATGCTGAGGGTGTGGGCAGTGGGTCGGACTGTATATTAGTGCAGCCATCGTGGAAAACATTATGGAGCCTCCTTAAAAATTAGAAACAGGCTTATCATATGATGCAGCAGCCCCACTGCCAGGTATATATCCAAAAGACACGGGCACAATAAGCCACAGTGACACCTGCACCACCATGTGTGTAATGGCACAGGAGTCGACGAAGATGTCCACCACCGGGTGACTGGAGAAAGAAAACGTGGTGTATACAGACAACGGAGTATCACTCAGCTATCAACAGAGGGCGATGCCACCATTTGCAGCTAAATGGACGCTACTAGAGGTCATCATGCAGAACACAGAAAGACAAATACTGCATACACAAAAAATAAAGGAGAGGGAGAAAAAAAGGGGAGGGAGGGAGAAAGGAAGGAAGAAAAAGAAAGAGAGAAAAGAGAAAGGAAGGAAGGAAGGAAGCTCGCTCACGGGGAAGCCTTGCACTTAGATTACAAAATTGTTGCTGGTGCCACACTGACGCTCTCAGGAGGGTAAATCCTCAACACCAGGCAGACGGGGTAAAGGTCAGTGTTTGTTCCCTTTGTCAGTGGAAAACGCACCCGAAAATCCACAATCCAGGTAATCAAGACTTGGAAGAATCTGGGATGAGGTGAATGAATGCAACATGAGGTGGTGCGAGTTGCTGGGGCTGAACGGCCTGGAGTTCAAATCCCAGTTCTGCCATGTACTCTGAGCCTGGGTGTCCTCCGACTTAAGATGGGGATATTAACGACAATGATGGCTACTTGGCATGGCTGTTTGAATACGCAATGAGCCAGCGCAGCCAGAGAGCTGAGCGCACTGTCCATGCCCTTTACGTGCTGACACCAGGGGCCTGAGTCCTCCTGCTGCCCAGCCCCTGACTAGGGGCAGCCCTGGGGTACCTCTTGCACTGCTACCCAGGGGCCCCTGGGAACCAGCAGGTGTCTCCTGGGATCTCAGGTCAGCCCTACATTTTCCCAAACACCTGCTTCTTCCACGGCTTCTCCTATTCAGTCCACAGTGATAGCCGGCCTGCCCGCTGTAGCTGACGCTGCTAAACGCAGGTGGCTCAGGGGTCCCTCAAGTGAGACTCAGGGTCTCACTGCCTGCTTTTACTCTTAGAAGTGACTCTGTGTAATGGAACATGCGGCCTTAGCCAGGCTCTCAGAGCTGCAGACACTACCGAAACAGCTGCCCACTGTTCTCCCTGTCCTGCGCTGGACGGGCCATTCTCTACCCCTGACACATGTGCACAGACCGCTGGCCAGGCTCTGCACCAGCCACTGACAGGTGGGGTGCACTGCCCGGGGTCTGCACGGATAGACCTTTGCCCTGGGTTGGTGCCAGCCTACTCCATCCTTATCGCATGCTCAGCGGAGGCGACATATAGAAGGAGCAAGGCATGTTCCAGGCCCTTCCTCTCCGTTCTCTCCCTTCCTGAAAGGTGGGGACAGGGGTGCTGAGGGTCGGCTGGTTGGGCAGGGGGGCACACCATGGGGGTGAAGGGCAGTCTTCAGGGGTGACCTCCTTTCTGTTGCTTTTCCTTCTGATGAGGGCATAGCTGGCAACCAGCTCGTGCTCTGACCGCCACTCCACTTCTCCCTGAGCCCTGTGCCCTGGCCCCGACCTGTCCCCTGCTCCACTGCACACCCAGAATGAGTCTCCCTGCTTGGCTGACTGGTCTGCTGGGAGCTAGGATTGAGTTGCAGCTCTGACTGAGCCTCTGGCACAGGTTGTCACTGGGCGCAGGAACAGGGCCGACCCATTTCTTCAGGTCCCAAAGTCCATGGATCTCCCAAGCAGCAGAGGACAGACTTACCCAGGCCCAGGTTGGAGATGGTCTCGAGGTCCGGGTAGCTGTTGGCTTCAAGGACGGCCTGGGGCAGGCGCAGCGTGAAGGGCAGGAGGTCTCTGTGGAGACACAGGGATCTCAGGTCAGGGCTGGGGAGGGTCAGGCTGTGTGCACCCCCGTCCCAAATCCCACACCTGCAGCCCAGGAAGCAAGAGCCACAGCAAGTCCTGGGCTGCTGGCATCTCCACCTGGACTGCACATTTCCCTGGAGCTGGCAGGCAGAGCCCTGAGGCATGGGGGAGGAGCCAGGCGCCATGGCATTGCACTTCTCCCTGCTTTGGGCTTCCTTGAAAGCAGAGCTGAGGGCCCAGGCAGCACTGTCAGAAAGCTTTGCATGGGGACCTGAAGCCCCTACCAGAGATGCTTTAAAAGGAGTCGAAAGATACAGAGACTGAGGCTCAGAGATGGGAAGGGCTATGCCCAGCCTACAACGTGGGTTCTGGAGCCTGGAAGGTGGGAGGGTGGCACTGCTGGGCCCCCAGGACACGTGGTTCCAACTCCACATCTTGACATTCAAACCCTACCAAACCCCCTTTACAGCCACATCCCTTCTGGTCCCCTCTCCCCACTCCCCCGCCATTGGTCCGGCTTCTTATCCCCTGAGTTAGGTCCTTCTCTCTGAAGACAGAGCAGATAGGCAATGCCCAAGGCTGCTCCAGCTGCCCCACCACCCCCTCGCCAGGCTCCGTTCAACCCTACCACAAGCTGACTCCAGCACCAACTAGAGGCCTCGCACGGTGGTCCCTGGCTACAGGTGTCCTCCCCTGGGGCCTCCTGGCTCTACTGTCTGACCCTTGTCTTCTCCCAGTGCTGACACCTTGCAGGGGGTGGGGCAGCTCTCCCGAGGAGCTGATTGGAGCGAGAGGAGGGCAGAGATGGCAGGGGCGGGGCTGGTGGCAAGTGTCCAGTCCTCTCACGCCGGCCCAGCCAGGTCAGCCACCGTAGGTGCCTCCAGCCCTATGAGCAGGAGCAGAGTTGAGGGCCTGTGGCAGATTCCCAGCCCCTCTGTAAGGCCCTGGCCATGGCTTTCCGCTTCTCCACTGGCCAAGAGTGACGGTGGATCCTTGCTACTCTGGTGTGAGTCTCCCGGGGACCCCAGGCCTGCTGATGACCTCCTCCAGGTAGACCCGTCCCGTCTCAGCCCTGCTCAGCTGCCATGATCTCCGTGCCACATTTTAAAGGAGGCTGTCTGCCAACTCCACCACCATTAGCCAGTGTGTCACATTGGCAAGCATGGTGACTCAGCTCACCCGCCTCTGCCCGCCAGGACAATCCGCCAACACCTGGTCACTTGGCCCACGCTATGCATCTGGTCCCTGCCCACTCTGCCGCTCCCTCTGGCTCCCCACCTCGGCCCCTTCCCCTTCCCAGATCCCTGCCCCACACTCAGTGGCCTGCCCCTGCCCTCTGAAGCTGTCCCTTGTCCCCTCCACCCAGGTCTGCTGAAATCCCACAGCTCCTGCGAGGCCCCCACTATGCCTGCCCAGGAACGCCCCTCCCATGAGCTGGGTCTCTCCCCACGCCTCATCGGGCTGGGCATTCACCACGGGGCTGCCTCTTTCCACCCACGGATGTGAACGTGCCCTACGTGCCAGGTCCTGGGCACAGAGACCCCCGGGGGCTCACCCCATCCCACAGGGGACGAGGCCACAGCTTTGATTGCAGACTGGCTGCAGGATCCAAGGCTAGAGAGCCGGGTCAGCACATGGTCAGGTGCGGCCCTCAAGCTGGTCCCCGGGAGTGAGTGCCCTGGGTCCCAGCGCATGCTAGGAAATGACACAAGCTGCTAACTCCTTTTGTCTGAGGTTATCCCATTCTCCCCTCCACAACACCCGTGAGTACGGGCTCCAGCGTGAAGGTGCCAAGCCTGCCAGTGCCCTCTAGGCAGCTGCTCCTCAGTTGCCACCACCGCCACCTCCTGCCAAGTGGCACGGGTGCAGCCTGGCATGCTGCCCAGGCTGAGGTCTGCACCTTCCTCACTAGCCTTGCCAGGGTGCAGAGATGGGAAGACACGCAGGTGGAACTGGAGGGAAATGTATGACATACCCACACCCCAGCACCAAGTCCTTGGGTCCAGGGAGATGCCGGGATAGCCCTGAGGACAGGGTGATGGGGCACCTGGGAGATGCAGGAACAGCCCTGGGGACAGGGTGCTGGGGCACCTGGGAGATGCCGGGGCAGCCCTGAGGACAGGGTGCCGGGGCACCTGGGAGATGCAGGGCCAGCGCTGGGGACAGGGTGCCGGGGCACCTGGGAGATGCAGGGCCAGCCCTGAGGACAGGGTGATGGGGCACCTGGGAGATGCAGGGCCAGCCCTGGGGACAGGGTGCCGGGGCACCTGGGAGATGCAGGGCCAGCGCTGGGGACAGGGTGATGGGGCACCCACCTGAGCACTCATTGACCGAACAGAAAGCTAACTGGATGATGTCAACGGACTTTGCTGCCTCCTCAACTCCAGTCATAGTTGGTGGCCTGCTTGGGTGGGGATCCCCTTACTGGGGAGGAAGGACTACTAAAGGCAACCTGCATCCAGGAACAAGTCTGGGGGTGAACGCACATTTCAGAGCAGCTTTTGGGGGTACCCAGAGGGATGGAGCTGTGGGAAGGAGTCACAGATCCCCTCCCCAAGGCATGGCTGCCAAGAAACCTTTCAGTTAAGCAAACTTCCAGATCCACGCATGTCTAAACTCAAGTACTTCATTACATACTACTAAGTCAGTTAAAGAACGATCACCAAAGCAAAAGTAACAAATGAGATTCTTTGAATGTTCTCCCGCCCGCCCGCCCCGCCTCAGCCCCCTCCACCACACAGCCCCTGGGGGCTCAGTCCTTGCACCCGGGGGTGTCAGAAGGCTGGCCTACTCACCTGCTGACGCAGTAAAATGAGATCAATCTGAAGATGTCCTCAAACACGAGGACCGAGCCTTCCAGGTACAGCACTGCAGAGAGACGAGACAAGCCTGGGTGAGCGGCTCTCCACGCAGGAGGGAAAGAAGCCAGCAGCTCCCAGGGACTGGCAGGGGCACCTCTGCCCTCCACACTGTGGGATTCTGGTGCCAGAACAGCACCTGGCCCCACACACATTCGCAGCCCACCCGATGTCAAGGAGAAATGGAGATGTCTGGGGCGCCAGCAGGAGGGAGCTGCGCTATCACACACCGGCCACTAGGAGGCGCTAAAAGAAAGTCTCTGCTTTTACTCCGGCCTCTTTTCAAAACCCCAGGATTGCACCTGCTCTAACAGGGCGCTAGAGGGCGACAGGAACCAGCATATGAATGGGGCTTTAATTTTTCTGCAACCTTAGTAGCTCTTTTTCTCACGGACTTTTTGAAGACCCCCTTGTATTTTGTTCCAACAGCTTTATTTTATGTTGGCCTTTTTTCTATACACTACTCTCAACAGTTTTGCTTCTTTTTTTTAAAAATTCACATCCATCTGTTTATGGCAAGGAAATAATGGTTTTTCCATTAGAATGCATGTAAAATTCAATTATTCAAATTTACTTATTTCTTATTGACTTGAAAGATGGACAGAGAGCTTCAATCCACTGCTTCACCCCCTAAATTCCCACAACAGCCAGAACTGGGTCATGCCCTGCTGCCTGCCAGGCACATGAACAAGAAGCTGGAATCAAACAGAGTTGAGGTGCTCCAATATGAGACACCTGCTATGCCACATGTCCACCCCAAACCACACTTCAAACCAGGAGGAGGGTCAGGGCATGAGGCAGTGGTGGTGGTGTGAAAGTCAGATAAGCAGAGAGGAGCAAAGACAGAGAGGAAGATCTTCCGTCCGTTGATTCACTCCCCAAGCAGCGGCAATGGCTGGAGCTGAGTCGATCCGAAGTCAGGAGCCCGGAGCCTCATCCAGGTCTCCCACGTGTGTGCAGGGTCCCAAGGCTTTGGGCTGTCCTCAACTGATTTCCCAGGCCACAAGCAGGGAGCTGGATGGGAAGCGGGGCCACAAGAATTAGAGGTGGTATGGGATCCCGGGCGTGCAAGGCAAGGACTTTGGCTGCTAGGCTACAGCGTCAGGCCTGATGTGGCTGTTTCCATGGCTCCCTCTGACCCATCTGAGCTGAAGGAGAAACAGCCAGCTGCTAACATCAGGCTCCTTTAAGCCCTGAGACTATGCAATGGATGGACACAGCTACCTGGTTCCTGGGGTGGAAGTGGCAAGGGTGGCAATTTCACAGGGCTCCTGGGGACCCTGTGGGTGCAGGGCCAGCTCTGAGGTGATGTCGCAGTGCAGGCCCTGCTTGTGGAGAGGCAGCCCAGCTCCTTGCTGGCTGACGGATGAGTGGCACCAGGCCAGCGCTGTGGGCATTGCTGGAACCAGCAGGAGGCAGAGGTCGTCAGGGGCGAGCACTGACACCCCCAGCTGGCCTGGGCCCTCTGCTCGCTGCTGGGTGAGGACTGGGACCCCATGTAGGCAAGCTCTCCTCCTGCCCGCCAGTGTGGGGAGGGCATGGGCTCCTGGTTCCATTGGGCACTCTTGGGGGCTCGTGACCCTAACTTTTAGGTACAAGTAAGAGTCTCCATCCCCCCAGCCTTCCAGGTCACCAAGGGAAGTCTGATCAATTCCTAGAGGGAGGTGCGTGGTGAAGGCGTGCGGGGTGGGCCAGCTGCCCTGTGCACCAGGCACCCAGCATGCTCACTGCTGACACCTGCTCACTTCTCAACTGTACCACTGGGTTACCTAACCTCGGTTACCTAGACAACGCAGGCACACCATCATAGTTCTGACCGGACAGCTCGGACAGTAAGGCCCAGGCCTCCTTTCCTCCTTTTCAGAAGATCTACAATCACCCAACACCACAGGGGGCCTGGCCTGGGATAGGGACAAGCTGGGAAAGGCCACTACAAGGAAGGGTCCGCTTTCTTTCTCCCTGGCTGTTCAGGGCCAGTGAGGGCACCTTTCCCCCTGGACCTGTATGTGTGTGTGTCTGGCTTCTGGGGAGGAGTCCCCCACTCCTGAGCCTCTGTCTTTCCCCACCCATGTGCCTGGTTGCTGGGGCCCCAGTGCAGGGGCTCCTTCTGGACTGCCCCTGCCTGCCCCTCACCCCGGCTCCCCGGTGCAGGGCTGTGCTCAGTTGGAGCCTCTGGATTGGCAGTGGAGGGTTGCAGGGATGCGGGGTTGCCAGGATCAGCATGGCAGCACCACTGCCTGCGTTTCCTAGGCAACTGAGGGTAAGTGGCCCAACAGTACACTGAGAGGTGAGCAGGTGCCGGCAGTGAGCGTGCTGGGTGCCTGGCTCCGGGCAGCACGAGGGCATCCCCCTGGAATGCAGCCCATGTGTCTGCCTTGCTGCCAGCACAGATGCCTTTCCTGGGGCCACAGTCTCCTCCCATGACACTGAGCAGGCCCCAAGTTCTCTCTTGGGGTGCTTGCCTCAGCAGAGCTGCTTCCCCTTCTGCAGGCCCCAGCACTGAGCGCACCCCAACCTAGAACCTGTCATATCACAGGTCTGATTGGCCCGGACAAGTAGGGCCTAGGTCTTAGTTCTTCACCTGGTCCCTGGCCCAGGACCACATCCCATGTGATGGAGCCTGCTGTGGCCCAGAGCGACAACTCTGAACCACAAGGGGGACAGGACAACCGCTCTGCAGCCAGACATTCCCCTCTGCACTGCCCACTTCATGAAAAAGACCCCCTTTCTTGGCAGCCACTCCTCCCCATCGAGTAAGCATGGAGACAAATCATGCAGAGCGAGACAGGGAACGCAGCTCAGGCTGTCAGCATGCAGACAGGACCTTGTCTGCGAATTATTTATAGGTTCGGATGCCTCAACAGAAGCGGGGGGTGTGGGAATGGGGCATTGAACAGATTTGAGGAGACTAAATAAAGAACAACCAGGCAGGGAGCTTTTGGGGGGAGGCATTCCTCTCGGCTCCCTGTTGAGTCCAGGGCAGGCTCCACCCTTGCGGGTCGGGGTGTGGGATGGGGCACTCAAGTACCAGGCTCCTCTCAAGTACCAGGCTCACACATTACTGTCCTGGGGTTATGCGCCATGCGGAGGCCCCACGTCATGATTCTCGGAGGTGCCACTGGTTCATTTTCTTCTCCAGCCAGCCCTGCCAGTCCTCCCCCTAAACATCTCCGGAGCGGGTCTCTCTCCATGCCTGATGTAACTGCCTGGTTTGGTCGCCACCGTGCTGTGTTGGCCATTGCCATGCAGTCCTTGTCTCCATCCCTGGGGGCTTCCCCCATCACCCCTAGTGCTGTGGGCTTCTGATTAAGAGGCGCAGGGTGAGCAGGGCAGGCGGTGAGTGTAGTAAAGTGGTTGCTTTGATGCTTGGGACACTGGCATCCCATGCAGGACTGCCTGGCTCCCGTCCTGGCTCAGCTTCCAATCCGGCCTCCTGGGAAGGCAGCTGCTGATGGCTCCAGCCCTTGGGTGCTTGTCACCCATGTGGGAGACCAGGGCTGAGTTCCCCAGCGTGTCACGTTGGCTTGGCCCACTGGATGGGAGCTCACACTCTCTCTGCCTCTCACGTCATTTCGTTTTGTTGGTTTCAAAAACCAGGCAGAGCTACGCCTGGAGCTTGGGTGGGTGACTGTCCTTGCGATGACTGTCCTTCCAGAACCCGCCCCCAGCCCCAGGCCAAGGCTATCCTCTTCCTGTCCACCGCTGGCTCTTTGCCAAGACCATAAAGCACCTGAGTGTCCCCTCAGCTTCGGACTCTGAGGATAATTCCAACATTCCTTATTAAATAATTCCCCTGGTAAAGAGGAGAGATAAGATCCCACTAAGCAACACAAACAAACGACTTCATCATTAGCCACTATTGCCTTCTCCGGTGTCCTCCACCCCCCTGACTGGGGAGTGCTGCTGTAATAAGGGAATTGGGAAACAGGACAGGAGACATTGGGCTCAGGTATGAGAGCATACTCCCAGTTCCATCCTTGGTCCTAGCACCTGCTTCATTAGGCTGTGCAGGAAGCTGACGGGCTGAGGTGGATGCAAGCTCATCTGGCACCGGAGGCACAGCAAGGCTCAGTAACTGGGGTCAAGGGCTGAAGCTATCATGCTTACTCATTGGCAAACCTGTCTTTGCAGGGGCCAAGGGCAGCTCTGGTCTAGGGGAGAGATTCAAGGAACATTCCTTCCAGTGGGGAATTCCTGCTGGATTAGTGCCCTAGAAGTTTCCATGGTGAGAACCATGACGTAGTCATGAGTAAGCACAACAGATATGTGTGATAGGAATGAGGGCGGGAGACAAAACTGCTCATTGATCCTTGGTGGACAGGGAGGACCATGGAAAACACCAGTCAATTTTCATGGCCCCTTTGTGATGGTTTGGGCAGGAGGGAGAAGACAGTGGAACAGGGACTGTGGTGTGGCTGCCAGGACACTGGGCCATGTGCATGTCCCTGGTTTACAACAGGACTTTCCAATCCAGCACCTGGGACGGCCACAGTCAGGCAAACGTGTAGGGCTCTATTCTAAGGAGGAATTTATGCTTATCTCTTGCCAGGTGAGGTTAAGGGTCCCTCCTTCAGGGTGGCCCAGGATCAGGGGAGAGAGGAAGGGACAGAGGAGAGGAGGGAGGAGGGAAGAGGGAACCTTTTCTTGGGCATGGGCATTGCTTTTGGCAGTGACATGCTGGTTCCGAGGCCTGCCTCACACACTGGAGGACCTGCATTTGACCCCTGGCTCCTGGCCTTCTGCAGAGGCCAGAGGCCAACACCTGCACCTGCAGGCAAGGTGAGCTGGGACTTTCCAGGCTCCGGACCCATGAGAAACACTTTCTCTTCTCTATGAATTACCCAGTCGCGAGCATTCTGCACAAACGGCTACATGCTGAACTGAGACAGCACACGCCTGACCCTCTCTGGCCCATGACACAAAGCCCAGGAGTCGTTGGGGCCTGACTCCTGACCTCTCCTGCAGTCACTGCTGTGTTCCCTGCAGCTCCTGAGCTGCACAGCCTGCAGCTGGCAGTCCCAGGGCACACAAAGCAAGACCGTGCTGGCACCAGCCCACTGCCTACACGTCTTCGCCTCCTCCTCCTCCTCCTCCTCCAGGGCCTTGTGTTCTGGATCTTTCTTTATCCTTATCAGAACTCCATTCCTGCATCTGATTCTCACAGGACCAAACAGTTCCCACACTCACACTTCCGGGGGCGGCTCGGCCAGCTTCCAAGACCCAGCCGCTAGAGAGGATGACAGTGGCTACTCCAGGCCCAACCCCTTTTCTCTGCCCCATCTCAGTTCCTGGGACACCTGCAAGGCCGGCTCCTGGGCAGTCTCTAAAGCCCTTCCCACTGTCCTCCATCCCGGCACTGTCCCTTGCTCCTGACCACCTTGGATGCTGCCCTTGCCTCGTCCTGCTGTGCTGCCTCTCACAGTGCAGGGGTCAAGGCCTTTGGGGACCTGCCAAGTGTCACCTTTCCAGCCTCATCCCTGCCTCTCCTTCCAGTCATACCCAGCAGAGCCTCACCCCTTCCCAATTGCCCCTCCCACCCCTGAGCTTTGCGGCAGGTCCCAATGGAACGTGTCTGTTTCCTCATTTCTCTCTCGCATAACCAATTCCCATCCTTCAAGGCCCTCGGTCAAGGCCACGGGTTTGGATGTCTAACCATGTGCATGCTGACACAGCAGCTGGGACGGGGCTGGAATTTCTGATAGGTATGACCTGTCTGCTGTTCCCACTGCTTCCGGGACAACAGCATCTTAGCCTCCTTCGGACACCACTGGGCACGGATTCAGCGAAATTGGACCAAAGTTTAGTGAAAGGGGAAAGGCTCAGAATAAAATGCTGAAGTGAAAAGAGGAAGGATAGAACAATGATATACACTACTCTGACTAGAAATCAACTGAAAAGGAACAGAAAGAAATTTACCAAACTTTTACAACATTTTTGGAGTTAAATTGTCCCATGATGTAACTCCTTGCCCTCTTCCCTCCCTCTGCTTGTTCCCAGTTCAATGTGCTTTGGAAGCGGCAAATACCATACTGAAGAGAGACAGCGATGAAGTGTAATTATTAGAGCTGAGATCTCCAAGGGTAACACCCAGGGTGGGATACACCTGTTACCTACAGGAGCTCTCCAGACACAAGGTGCTGGTGGAGCTCAAAGGTTTTAGATGGAAATTGTTGGGGCCAGCCGGCACCATGGTGTAGCAGGCAGAGCTGTTGCCTGAAAAAGCAGCATCCTATATGGGCACCAGTTCATGACCCAGCTGCTGTATTTCCAATCCAGCTCTTGTCAATGGATTGGGAAAAGAGGCTTGGGCCTCTGCCACCCATGTGGCTTTGGCTTGGCTCAGCCCCAGCTCAAACAGACATCTGGGCAGTAAATCATCATGCAGAAGTTTTTGTTCTCTTCCTGTAATTCACATAAAGAAATAAGGGCCAGCATGATAGCTTATCTAGCTAATCCTCAGCTTGGCAGTGCCATCATTCCGTATGAGCACTGGTTCATGTCCAAGCTGCTCTACTTCCCATCCAGCTCCCTGCTTGTGGCCTGGAAAAGCAACAGAGGATGGTCCAAAGCCTTGGAACCCTGCACCTGCATGGGAAACCAGGAAGAAGCTCCTGGTTCCTGGCTTTGGATCAGCTTAGCTCTGACCATTGCGGCCATTTGGAGAGGGAACAGATCTTTCTATCGCTTTGTAAATATGCCTTTCTAATAAAAATCTTTAAAAATAAATAAATAATATATATATTTTAAAAGAAATGGCTGCTGGGCCCGGTGGCATGGCCAAGCGGCTAAAGTCCTCGCCTTGAACGCCCCGGGATCCCATATGAGCTCCGGTTCTAATCCCGGCAGCTCCACTTCCCATCTAGCTCCCTGCTTGTGGCCTGGGAAAGCAGTAGAGGACAGCCCAAAGCCTTGGGACCCTGCACCCGTGTGGGAGACCTGGAAGAAGTTCCTGGATCCTGGCTTCAGATCCGCATAGCATTGGCCGTTGCGCTCACTTGGGGATTGAATCATCGAACAGAAGATCTTCCTCTCTGTCTCTCCTCTCTGTATATCTGCCTTTCCAATAAATAAATAAATCTTTAAAAATAAATAAATAAAAATAAAAGAAGAGGCTGCTGCTTCATCACCACAGCTAATGCACAATGGCGGTCCTTACTGCGTGCTGACTGCACACAGGTACCAAGAGACTCTTCCCTACAAATGCCTTTCTCATCCATCATTCACGCACTGCAGGTGCTGAGTGCCTCTCACAGCCCCAGGAACGCTGACCCAAGCCCCTGCTGCAGCCCCGTGGAGCTGACCACCAACACCATTCAGCCCAGGAATGGACTAGAACCCCAGGGTAAAGCCGGTCTGCCGGCTTCAGGTACCTGCCCTGACCCACACCCCTGCAAGTGTGAGAATAAATGCTGGCCGAGTGGAGAGGCGGTCCTTTCTAAAGCCATGGCCAGGCTGGGCAGGAGGGCCCACTCAGAGAGGGAAGTGGGGCTGCCAGTGACACATGTGGCTGTGAGTGCTGGGTGGTCACCTCCCACGTATGCTAGACCACAACCATTGGTCACCTTCCCGTGGCTCTTCTTCTGGAGGCAGGGCCAAGAGGTCTTCATGAATGCGTCATTGTTGTGTGTCATTGTTACTTCCTCTATAGCCCAGGAGTGCACAAGCAAGGACAGGATAAGCATCCTTAATCTGAAAACCCCAAATCTGCAACTTTCTGAGACCATTGCTCGGTGCCTTGGGCAGAAAATTCCACCTGACTTCAAGCCATGGGATGAAGTCAAAGCAGAGGGGAGCTCAAAACACCATGCAGGTGCAGGTGTGCGGCTTCAGCGTCAGGATGCCCACGTCCCACACCGGCGTGTCTGGGATGCACACCTGGGCTGGCTTCCTGCTGACACAGGCCCTGGGAACCAGCGGTGCCAGCTCAAGGACCTGGATCCCTACCACCCATGGGAGAGATTTGGATTCAGATCCGGTTCTGGGTCAGGGACTGTGGTGGCACTCGGGAAGTGAAGCAGCAGATGAGAATTCTCTCTCTCTCTTATGTAAGAATACTGCATCAAATTCCCTTCAGGCTGCACATTACGTGTGCACGAAGCACACGAGTTGCATGTTTAGACTCGGATCTCTTTGTAGATACACAAATATTGCAAAATCTCTCCTAGACCTTGTCCCATGCATTTTGGAAAAGGTTAGTCAAACTGGGGTGTTCCCAGGCCAGGGTGTTCATGTGTCCCATCCAGGGGAGGCAGCCTGACCACTCCCTACTCCTGTGCTCCTTCATCCCTGTGCCTCCTGCTCGCCTCCAGCCCCCAACATGGCCTCTTTTGGTGATTCTCTGGGTCCCGTCCCCCCTTCCCTCCCTCTGAGGGTCCCCATGAGGCCAAGCGGTGACCCAGGCAGTTCAGTCTTCTTGGGACCGTAGTGCAGCAGATGAAAGGTGCTGGAGATGATGACTCGTGCTACGCCCCCTGCTGGCCACACATCCCACCTACTTCACACTCCGTTTCCAATTGCTGTCCACCCAGGCCAGGCGACCTGTTCTAACCATTGAAATGTGAAGGGACGTGCCACCACCCACTTCCTAGGAGACCCTTTCAGAGCCATGGAGTTTTGCTGGCTTTCCTGCCTGGAATCCATGCTCATCAGGAGAGTCGGGGAGAATGTCACACTAAGGAGAGAGGCGCTCCGTCACCTGGGGTGCATGTACCTGGTCATAGGGCTGTTTGTCACTGTTTGTCACTAGTGTGGCCTGCGCCGTGCAGGGTTCGTCAGAGATATTCTTCACAACAAAGGAGAAGGCAGGCGGAACACAGGGAAACAGAGTCATGGTTCCTGGGCTTCCTGCTCACCGCTGAGCGGGGCCACACAGGAGGCTGAGCACCCCCATTCGGGGAAACCCCTTCTCTCCTGCCCCAACCCTACATGGGGAAGCCCAGTACGAGGCCCCAGGCTTGGGCCTTTCCCTTGCCCACTTCCTCCTCCAGCTGCCCTGGAGGGGGAGGCACCATGGCAGTTCCCCTCTCAGGGACAAGAACACTGGGGTTAGCAGGGGAAAGGGACGTGTCCATGGTCACACAGACCATTCAAGGCAGGGCAGGGATGCAGACCCAGACTCCGGTCCCAGGGCTCCTAAGCCACGGAGGGAGGGATGGGAGTGAGAGAGAGCAGGGAGATGGAGCAGGGAGTCAAGAAGGCAGACAAACGCACCCCAGGCTCCCTTCTCTGGGTGGCCAGGGTCAGCTCAGGTGGAGACCAAGGGGAAGGAGGGGCGGCGGACAGTGGAATAACAGAGGGAAAACGCCTAATGCAAACCACGCAAGACACCTGTGTGTGTGTGTGTGTGTGTGTGTGTGTGTGTGTGTGTGTTGGTGATGGGCCTGCCAGAATAAGGAGTATTTTCCCCAGTCTTTGCTTCGGCTTTGAGGAAGCCAAGACAGCAGGTCACAAAGGTGAGAGGAAATAAACATGGGCTTTTGAGTGGATCAGCCGAGTTCTAAACAATGCTCTTGGGAAGACTCAAAGTTTCTCCCTCCTGATTTTAAACGCAGGCAGGGAGGAGAGGCCACGGCTGGCAGGTGCAGCGTTGGCCGCCCCTGCTGGGTGGTCGCGGTGAAAGCCAGGAAGAGAACACTTACTGGACTTTTCCTCCTTAACGGTGTATTCCAGCACCTCGGACGCACCCTCGTTCAGGGGAGGGAAGCGCACACACAGCATCAGGGACTTCAGGCCACTGTCCCGGCGCACCAGGAACATCTGTAAGCAAGGCAGCAAAGGAGTACCATGAATCAAAGATCCGAGGGGCCGCCGTGGCGGTGCAGTGGGTTAAGCCACCACTTGTAATATCAGCATTCCCGGGGGCACAGGTTTGAGTCCCAGCTGCTCCACTTTCCAATCCCACTCCCTACTAATGCACTTGGGAAAGTAGCCAAGCTGGCCCAGGTGCTTGGGCCCTTGCCACCCATGTGAGAGACCTGATAGAACTCGAGCCTGCTGGCTTCAGTCTGGCCATTGGAGCCACCAGGGGAGCAAAGCAGCAGAGACATCTCTCACTGGGTCTTTCCCTGTCTCTGTAACTGACTTCCAAATAAATAAGTCAAGTCTCAGGTTCTCGTTGGCTCACTCTGGTACCACCAAGTTGGAGCTTCTCGGATAGTGTTGTGAACAGAGTGCAAGGGGCAGGTCCTCACCCCAGCGTGCTGCTGCCTGGGTGAGTGGTCCAGCTCTGAAGGATGGGCTGGATTTCACCTTACTCCCCAGCAGGTGTGCCTGGGGGAACTGGTGAGAACAGTCACAGCTAAAAACCCTACTCTCTCCCGCGCAAAAATAAAAGCAGCAGCTAAAATTGTTAGCATGAAGCCCAGTGCTGCGGACACCATATTGATGCCTCCCACGTGTCAATCTCACACACCGGCATTCCCCCATCCTTACCCCATGCTGCCTCTAAGAGTCCTTCTCAGCCACAACAAGGCTGCCACTCACAGCTCGCACCAAGCCATGTCCTCATTCCCATAAAACCACCCAGGTGGACGCTCCCATTCCCTTCATGCACCTGGTGGCATGACACTTCCAAGACTTTCTCCAAAGTCACCAAACTCCTGGACATTCCAGAAAACTCCCCCAAAGCCCCACCCCCTGTGCCTCCAGATCCCACAGGGAGCAGGTTTCACGGCTGCAGAACACCCCACATCCTGGCTGTAGGCCCATATTCCCCTCAAAGGCACACTTCCGTTTTGCTAATAAGTGGATTCTTCTCTAACATGTCACATCTGAGTGATTGCAGGTTTTTTTTTTTTTTTTTGTGGTTCCTGACAAGCCTTTCCAGCCACACCACACCTGGCTGATGCTCTCAGAGGACTCCTGGGGCCCCAGGGTGGGGCTGGCCACCAGGAGGCTGAGCACCTGCCTGGAGGGGAGCCTGACCTGCCTGCCTGGGCCTGACAGGGCCCATGGTCCTCTGCCTCCTTTTCAGACAGAGAGAAAGAAGAGAGGTGCCTTGGATGTGGACTGGGTCTGGAAAGGGCTAGACTGGACTAGACTCCAGCACCCTCTGTTACTTGTAAGGGTCAGAGAGGGTGGGAGAATGTGCTAGGCTAGGTCTTGGCTCCTGTTGAACCATGTGGTGTGGCTGGGCTGCAACACCCAACAGTTAGATCTGAAAAGGGTATGGGCCGATTATGCAAGGACATCATTCCTGCCAGGACAATAGGTGGACAAAGTCAACCCGGGCCAAGGACCCACTGGTGTGTGCAAGATCTGCCACTGGGAGGAGACCAGATGGGGAAGCATGATGAACCCCTTGTCAGGTTGCGGTCTCTGCGGCTAAAGGCAAGAACCAAGGCAAGGAGCAGCCCAAACCAGACCAGGCTACAGTCTCCACTGGCATACATGTGGGTCAGGTCAGGGGGCTGGCTGGGCCAAACCAGGTGATAATATCCACTGGCAGACCTGAGAACCAGGATGGGGTGTGGGAGGGGCTGAGTCAGGCTGCAACACCAGCGAGTTCACACTCAAGCCAGGACTGGGGACTGAGGGCAAAGCTAGGTTGAAGCACCAACCAGCATAGGCTGGAACTAGAGGCAGGTTGGATTGAACTAGGCTGAAGCACCTGCTGGTAGATGCTGAGGAGAGATGAATCATGCCAGTCTGGGGACATTGGGTGCCAGGTCCATGAGTCCCAGGGATGGAGGGGCCCTTGGACACACTTATGAGGTAGATGCTAGATCCGTGAGCCCCAGGGGTGTGGGTCTCCTGGTCCAAGTCATTGGGCCCACCTGTGCAGTGGGTGGTGGGTCTTTGAGCCCCAGAGGTGGGGGATCTGACTTTGCCCAGGTTGCCTGGCTCAGGTCCATGAACCCATGTAGGAGAACTGGGCCTCCTCAGGGTAAAGGATGGAGTGTTGGCCAGCAGACCATGCTGCACAAGGAGGACATGGAAGCCCATTGGGGTCTGCAGAGAACATCTGGTACCACAGCAGAGAATGGAAAGCAGAACATATGGACAAACATTGACAGTAAATATCTGGGCGAATGGAGACTATAAAGTCGACTGTGTCAGCTAAGGGAAATTGGAAATGATTCCTCCATAGATTTGCGAGATCAACAGCATTTTGGAACTATCGCATCCACCTGGGCAGAACCCTCAGAACACGTGCCACATTATGATCCTGGGTTAGTATCGGGTATTTCCCACCACTGGGTACTGGGGCAGTTGGGAGACTGGGTATGGCCTCTCCCCTTCCCCCAGAAATGGGAAGAAGAAATAGAAAGTTTGGAAACAATGATCATATCCACTTCTCCCTAACCCTAGATTCTCCCCACCCTGATCAACTATATAAGCATCACCTAAAATAATAATTTTAAAAAGACAGGTGTCTTTAGGCAGGAATCCTGCCAGCTGGGGCCCTGAGCAGCCAAGCCAGCTTTTGGCTCTGAGCCTCAGAGGTCCAATCTGAAAATGGGGATAAGCACGCCTTCTGTCACGCAGCAGAAACACAGCTGGAGGAAGTGACCACGAGCAGCGACAGCACCTGCAGGTTACTTCATGGGCACTCAGCTCCACCTCTTCCCAGCTTCCTTGTCTTAGGCTCTGTCTAGAGCTGGGCTCCATCGGCTGTGTGTGTGTGTGTGTGTGTGTGTGTGTGTGTGTGTGTGTAAGTGAGAGAGAGAGAGAGAGAGAGAGAGAGAGAGAGAGAGAGGCATACAGAGGCAGGGCAAGGGTGGTGGATGCAAGGTGAACCATACAAAACAGTGGAATCAATGGCCGGCAAGGAGCTGGGAGGTAACGCAGTGGCTGGATGGGCATTTGCGCTCTGTTTCACCACCGTCAGAGGCATGGAAGCTTGGGGCACAGGGCCACACAAAGTCATCACACCTTGCCTATTTCTGACTGGTGTACTGGGTTATCTACGGGGCTGGGGGCAGGGTTTCAACAGGGCTGGAAACTTCCCATGCTGAGCTCTGCATCCCCCCAACCCTGCACACCATCCCCCTCCAGTGTGACCACAGAGCTCTCACACGGTGCCGCTCTTCTGCCTGGGCCTAGTCTCAGGGCTCTTATCTGAAAACCGTAAGGCGCTGGGCTGGGCGGGGTTGGAGGACAGAGGAGGCTGCGAGTGCTGAGCCCCGTGGCAGGGAGCAAGCCTGTGGTGGGCCTGGCTAGAAGGCTCCTTCCTGCCCAGGAAGCTGTAGGTGAGGGTGACGTGAGCCGTGCCTGCTGTGGTCAGTGGCCTGTCTGGCTCACCAGGAATAAGGCATGCAGGAGCTGCAGTCCAGGTGGACTTTCTACCATCTCAATTTGCCCATCTGATTGTGAGCTTGATAACATTGCTTTTGAGATTTATTTATTTTTATTGCAAAGTCAGATATATAGAGAGAGGAGAGACAAAGATCTTCTGTCCGATGATTCACTCCCCAAATGGTCACAACGACTTGAGCTGCATTGATCCGAAGTCAGGAGCCAGGAGCTCCTTCAGGTTTCTCACATGGGTGTAGGGTCCCAGAGCTTTGGGCCGTCCTCGAATACTTTCCCAAGCCACAAGCAGGGAGCTGGATGGGAAGTGGGGCCGCTGGGATTAGAACCGGCATCTATGTGGGATCCCAGTATGTTCAAGGTGAGGACTTTAACCACTAGGCCACTGTGCCCGGCCCGAGAACAGCCATTGTTATTGCTTCTTGGCCTTTTGGTTAAAATCAAGGGAGAACAGCCATCATTCGGGGTGGCTGTGAGAATCTATGTACAAAATGCCTGGTACAGTGCACGTCCTTAACAAATAGCAATAGGGGCTGATGTTGTGACATGGCAGGTGAAGTCACCACCTGCAGTGCTAGCATCCCATACGAGCATTGGTCCGTGTTGCTGCTGCTGCACTTCTGATCCAGCTCCTTGCTGATGGCCTGGGAAAAGCAACAGAAGACAGCCCAAGTACTCGGGTGTCTGGATGCAGTTCCAGGCTTTGTCCTGGTCCAATCCCATGCATTCAGACCATCCAGAAAGTGAACCAGCAGATGGAAGATCTCTCTCGCAGGCATGCTCTCGCTCTCTTCCTCCCTCCCTCCCTCTCACTATAACTCTGATCTTCAAGTAAAAAATTAAAGTAACTATTAGTATTATTAGAGATACCATCTTTGGGCATATTATACGTATTCATAACATTACTACTGTGCTTCAAACAGGATTGAGAGAAAAGACAGGAAGGGAAAGACTCCAAGGTCAGTGACTCATGTGTCAGATCAAAAATGGCCACATATTTTCGCTGCTCTTCCCATTGAGAGGCAGAGTCTACTTCCCCACCCCTGGGAGGGTGGCCTTGAAACTATCATGGACCAAAAGAAATCAGCTGATCAGACATGGTGAAGCTCTGGCCCAGACCTCGTGAGACTTGGCAGCTTCCATACCCATCCCTCTGGTCAGTGGCAGGCATGGGCAGAAGCCTGAGCTAGCCTAAGGCCCTAGGGTCCAACCACCACTGGACATGCAAATGGGCTTATCTGGGACCATCCAGCAGCAGCAAGTGACCGGATGACTGTGGCTGTGTGACCAACCCCAGGGCCACCAGCAGGAGAACCTTTCAGCCTTTGCTGCACGCCCCTCCTCTCCAGACTACTGTGCAGCTGCCCAGAGCAAAACACAGCATGATGTGTTTTCCATTTCTGGCCCAGACACCCCGAGCTGCCTGCTTTTCCACTCTTGTCATTTTAGAACTACCTTCCAGGTGCTTGGGGGAAATGTTCCAATGATGCCCATTAGGGCCAGATTAGATTAATAAATTCTTCCGGAGGCCACAGGGCAGGGGCTGGAGGGCCCATGATCTCCCCGGACATACACGGTGTGGGTGTCAGCTTGCAGCAGAGGTCTTTACCCACCTGCTCTGGCCCTGCTGGAGCTCAGGAGTGTGTGCACGTCTATATGTAAGAGTGTGTGTTTGTGTACAGGTGAAGAGAGTGAGAGTGTGTGTATGTGTGTTTGTGACTGTGTAAGCCTGCGTGTAGGTAATAATGCATGTTTATGTAAGCATGTTGATATGTGAAAGTATGTAAGTACATGTTAGTGTATGTGCACAAACATGCATGCATGTGTGAGAATGTGTGTATGTGAGTGTATAAATGTGTGTAAGTGTATTGTGTGCATAGGAGAGTTGTATGAGCTTGTGTGTATGCATATGAGTGTGTCTGTATTATATACGTGTGAATCTGTGTATGCATGAGTGTGTGTCAACATGTGTGAGCATATGAAGGACTGTACAACATTGTCAGAGCCACCAAGGACAGCAGGTGGGAAAAAGAGACACAGCGTAAGTCTTGTCTTTACGAGGGGACAATGAGGCTGGCTTTTCCCATTCCCTATGAGGTCGCCAGCAGCCCTGGCTGCACTCCAACAGGCTGGTGGCCAAGCGCACTTCAAAGTAAGCACTGGATTATAATCCCAAGTATAAGATAAGTCTTCACCATGTCACATCTGAACAATTAGATCAATGGGTAGCAAAGAAGAGGTATCTGCTGTCTGGAAGAATTCCAAGTCAGTCATGGTGACTCTTAGTTGGGGAGGTGAGCAAAACCCCGTGCTGCTTGGGTGACCAAGCCTGGGGTGTCTGTCCTTCCATGGAAAATGCAGTGGAAAGGGCAGGGCAAGCGTATGTGTCAACTGGAGAAAGCAACAAGGCCTACGTCAGTCGGGGACCAAGGTCAACATCACGACAGCCTCAGGCTGAGAGTACACACCCTTGGTGTGACGTGCTGAGAAGGAGCCTGAGGAGACACAGTGACTACCACGGGGTCTCCATGACACCAGACATTAGGGAAAAGCTCAGAGAATTGAAACAGAGCCTCCCCAGCTTTCACAAACAGCCCTGTATCCAATGGGTTCATTCCCTTGAGTGAATGCACCTCATGAAGGTCAGAGGGAAAAAGAGTGTGGAGTGGATAGGGACTCTCTCTACTAACGGTACAACTTCCCTGCAGAATGAACAAAGGCAGCTCTTTGCTGGCCCTGTTGCCAAACACACACACAAATGGAAACAGAGGCCATGGGTGTCCCAGGCTCCTTATCAGAGAGGCGGGCTAAAGGGAGGGGAGATGCCGCTGGGGCAGCGGAGGGACATGGCTGGTCAAGGCCATAGAAATATCCCAGCCAAGTTTGCAAGCAATGAATCTCAACTGAACTTGAACTATGGTTATGCAGCAAGGTGGAGGAATCCACCATGGGGGGAGGGATATGGGGAGGGGTGGGGGGAATCCCCAGCGCCTATAAAACTGTACTACATAATACAGTGTAAGCAACAATAAAAAAAAAAAAAAAAAAAAAGAAATATCCCAGCCAAGTGGCTGTATCCTCAGCTTCCCAACTGAGTGCCTCTCTGGACTGGTGCTGGGAGGGCCAGTACAAGTGTGCCTTGAGCTCCATGGCTGAGGGCCACCTGTGTCTTTAGAAACGATGACATCATTATGCTGGTGGGGGCTGGGCAGTTCTCTGGGAGCCAAGGCCCTCTGCCCCGTGGGGGACACACCCAGGACTCAATCCCCAGGCCAGTGAGTGGACCACCCTATACCTGTTTCTGGAAATGAGGACACGGAGCATGCCCACCTGCCAGGCACTGCCATCAGAATCAGATCCAACCGCATACATGGCGATTCAAGGTGGCTGCTCTTGGATTCAGAGAGCATGAGTTTAGGGCTTTACTGCTGCCTGAAGATATAGACACTTGGTGGGGAAGAGAGGGTAGGCAGGCAAGGGCCCAGAAACAGCATCACTGCCGACACTGCTGGCCTTCAGGCCGGCCTGGTGCCTGTGGCCACAGAAGGGGCTCCCAACCCCCACCTAGACATATGCTCTGGACACATCTCCCAATGGCTCAAGAGAGGCCTCAGACATCGCACCTTGCACCTGATTTTGAGCTATGTGCTCCCAGCAACTGAAGGCTGGGAGCGGGAGGGAACTCTCGTGGCATCTAACCGGGATATGGGGCACCAGTGGATTGCAGCCTGGGAATGCTGGCCATAACACCCACTGGCACAAGCCCCCTAGTTTTGTTTCCTCCCCGGGGGCCTCCTCTGCAGCCTTCAGTTACTGCCCAGCTGAGAACGGAGACACTAGCTGTGGCCCTCTCAAGGGTTGCAGCCTCCCTCTGTCCTCCTACCACCCCAGGCTAGGAGACATCTGCATATTGCCACTCCTTGTCCTTCCTTACAAGGCCTGACCAGGTTGGCTTGCAGACCACTCTGCAGCCCCCAGGCTCCCTGAGTCCTCTTTCCGATGGCAGGTGCCCAGGTAGCCAGGAGAGGCGCAGACGTTGCTAGATGCCCCGCACACATCAGGAGGCCCCATGCTCAGCCAGCTCTGAGGAGAGCATGATTTGTTCCTCTGAATACACATTAAGAGTTTAAACCCCAAAGTCATAAGCTGATGGCAGTAAAATTTGGAACTTAAAATTAAAAAAAAAAATTATTAGAAAGGCAGATTTACAGAGAAAAGAAACACGGAGAGAAAGCTCTTCCATCTGCTGGTTCATTCCCCCAGTGGCTGCCTCACCTGGAGCTGAGCAAATCCAAAGCCAGGGGCCAGGAGCTTCTTCCCAACCTCCCACATCTGTGCAGGGTCACAAGGTTTTGGCTCATCCTTTGCTGCTTTCCCAGGCCATAAGCAGGGAACTGTACTGGAAATGGAACAGATAAGAACTAGTGCCCAAATGGGATGCTGACCCTTGCAGGCAAAATATTAGCCAAATAAACTACTGTGCTGGCCCCCAGATGTTGGAAAGTTAGCAACTGGGGTCTTTGAGAATGATTAGACTAAGGTGTAAGGTGAGGTCCCCATGAATGAGTCTTGGTGGCTGTTTAGGCAGGGAGAGAGACCACTCTGACAGGGATAGGCACAGACACTCTCTGTGTGATGCCAGCTCCAGGCAAAGCCTGTGTCATGCTGATGGACTTGAACTTACAACGCAGCACTCAAAATAAACCTCTTTTCCTTTCTAATGTTGCCTCCTCAATATCTCATTATAGCCATGAGAAAGCTAGCTGATCCAAGGTGCAGTGCCACGGGTCCAGAGGGAATGAGTCCACGAACAAACTGAGCCCCCAGGACGGACAACCAAGGTCTGCTCCCAGGAGGCAAAGGAGCATCACGTGCCACACCTGCGGGGGTGGGGGCGGGGAACAGCAAGTATCGGTGCTGCAGGAAGACCCACTTCCTCGTCCGAATCCAGCAGGGGTGGATTCCAGCAGCAGCCAATTCCAGCCTGGCTGCTTCCTCACTGCGTGTCCCCGGGCCATTCATTTCTTTGTGTCACAGTTTCCTCATCTGTGCAACGGGCATCATAGCAACACCTGCCTTCCAGGGCTGCCGTGGGGACACACAGATCTGTTCATGTGAGGGATGTGGAAGGAAGCCTGATAGTCTGAGACTGGCTGGCAGCCGTGTGCACCTGTACAGGAAGCTGCTCCACTTGCTTCTGGCAGAATGATGGCTGGAAGGGAGGGAGTAGGGGTGTCCCAGAGGCTGGGGCGGCAGGGTGTGGGGAGTGATGGCTCCCTGGAGATGGGCCTTGACTTTGGGTGATGAAGGCGTTTTAGAACTAAAGGTGGTGGCGGTAGAGATGTCTCTGTGTCTCTATCAAAATTTGCCTTTCCAATAAAAATGAAAGAACCTTAAAAAAAAGATGAACATATATGTATAGCACTTTACCATTAAATTTAAATGTTCCTTTTTGGATTTTTTATAAAAAAATAAAAGGAAGCCACATGTAAGAAAATCTGGGGCAGCGGGGCAAAACAATATGTGGATGGGTGGGTGGAAGGAAGGAAGGAAGGAAGGAAAGAAGGAAGGGAGAAAGACCTTGTAGATGGTGGATAGATAAACAGATGACTTTTAGGCAGACATACGGATGGCAGGCGATGGGTGAATGGGGGTCGGTGGTAGATGATGAAATATGAGTCTTTGCTTACACCACCAAGCCCTTCAAAGCAGAAACAGGTCCACTGCTGTGACTGCTGGGAAAGCTGATCAGCACAAGGACAGAAAGCAAGTAAGTGGGTAGCTGTCTGGTGGCAGGTGCATCCACATCCACATGTGAGCACGCTAGGCTCTGCAGAGCTGTGCCTGCCCTTGACCATAAGACAGAAAGACCCTGACTCACCCCAGCCACTTCCTGGTGCAGAATCCTGGCCGCCTCTTCCCGGCCCAGCCCCAGCTGCAGCCACACGGGGCACGTTTTAATGAGCTTCTCCAGGACGCTGATACCCCGGTGAGGCAGGCAGTTCTTCAGGGTAGCTGGCAGGCAGAGCCCCACGCCGTCCTCCTCCTCCTCTTCCTCTCCTTGGCTCACATCTGGAATAGGTCTGAGAAACAAAATCGAACTATCAGGCTCTGCAGCCCCCAGAGAGGGTGTACAACACATGAGAACTAAATTCAACCGCGTTTTCTTCGTTAGCCTCTGGGGAGCCAGGCCTCTGAGGAACAAAACAATGACCAAATCATGGCTTTCACCTTAAGACGTTTATGACAAAGCAGGTGGGACATGCACAGAAAGACCCAGCTGGAAGGATACAGAGTGGCAGACAGCTCCTGACGCACAGGTGGCACTGGTGTCCAGCCCCGATGATGACTGCTAACATTAGTTAAAGAGTAACGTACACAGTGGGATGCACAGATGTGAGCACATGTGTCCACACAGGTGAACACCCAGGGAACCACTACCCACCTAGAAAGATAGACCTTAATCTCTGCAATGTCATGGCCACCGTCCGTAGGTGATTATTGAGCTCTTAAAAGTGTACAGTCATGGGCTGGCATTGGAGCATGTTGGATAAAGCCATTGCCTATAACATCCATATACCACACGGATGCCTGCTTGTGTTTCAGCTCCTCCCTACATCCGAACCCAGCTGCCTGCTTAGGGCCTGAGAAGGGCAGTGGAGGACGGTCCCAGTGCCCCTTGCCACCACAGGGGGGACCTGCCTGGAGTTCTTCTCTTGGCTTTGGCTAGCTGCTGCAGCCATCTGAGGAATGGCCCAGCAGATGGAAAATCTCTCTCTCTCTCTTTGTCTCTCCCTATAACTGTGTAACTGTGACTTTCAAATAAGTAAATGCATTTTTTTAAAGTGTGTGGTCTGGGATGTGGGCCTGTGGCATAGTGGTTAAGGCACCTCTTGGGACTACCACATCCTGTATAGGAGTGCCTGGGTCTGAGTCCTTGCTTCACATCCTGATAACGTGGAGCCAGGGAGGCAGCAGGTGGCAGCTCCAGGACTCAGGTTCCTGACACACGCTTGGGAGACTTGGATTGAGTGGCCAGCACCCGGCTTTGGCCCGGCCCAGCCCTGGTTGTCCTGGGCATTTGGGGAGTATAACAGTGAATGAGATCTATGCTTCTGTCTTTTTGCCTTTCAAATAAATACTTAAAAAAAAGTGGTCCAAATTGAGATATGTTGTAAGATTAAAGTATATACTGAATTTCAAAGTCCTGGTGTGAAACAACAATGAAAAACTGTTCATTAGTAATACTTTATATTGGAGCAAGTTTTGTAGCATAGCAAGTTAAGCCACTATTTGGGACATTGTGCAAATCTGAGCCCTGCTACCTTGCTTCAAATACAGCTTCCTGATAATACCCCTGGGAAGTGATGGGTGATGGCCCAAGGACTTTGGTTCCTGTCATCCATGCTTCTGACTGCAGCTTGGAAGTAACCAGCTGATGGTAACCAGCAGATGGAAGATCTCTTACTCCAACTTTGTCACTTCCAAAAGCATCCAGGACATTTGCTGTAGGGAGTCACTGGGAAGAAGGAGCAGATGAGGAGAGGATGTGCCCTGCTCAAGGGCCCAAGAAAGCAGAGCAGCTGCTGGGGAGGCGGGGGTGAGAGTGGGGAGGGCCTGTCGGGGGGAGGTGCGGGGGGGAGGGCTGCTGGGGAGGCTGCTCTTGCAGGCACCAGTGAAGGCAGCGAACAAGAGTAAAGAAGAAAAAACAACTCAACTTTCCTAGCTTTTATCTGTAGGAGGAGACGAGCAGTAGCAACACCAGCAGTGACCCAAGTGGGCTGGAGTGGGGGAACACTGCCCAAATGGCAGAGAAAGAGGCGTTGAGTACGGGTGGGGACAGGGAGGCTCTCCTTCAACCTGGGAGGCCAGAAAGCCCAGTATGCCTGGACGCAAGTATCTGGGAATGAGGTCTCCGGGTAGAGGGTAGAATTCCTAAATTCTTGCTCCAGAAGGAACTTCAGGAAAGGGCTGGAGTGACAAGAGGGAGGAGAAGGAAGGTGTGGTCAGAGGGGGCAGTGTTGCATCCACTAAAACAGTGCTAAAACAGAATGTTACATTAACCAGTGACAGTCACAAACAGTTTTAGCATAAATGAGAGGCAAGGCAATTGACTGACCAATCAACCAGTTGGCCAGCAAGGACCAACATCCCTTATTGGAGTGTGGCCCCAAATAGCACATTCACAGGGGCAGTACATAATAGCTTAAAAAGTGGCAGTTCACAATAGACTGCAAGGTGAGGGGGGGAAATACCACACACTCCCTACCACCTATTTCGGCTGGACAACCCACACCTGGCTCTTCTCCAGTCCAGCAATTAAGATAACCACCCACTTAATTACTCAGAAGCATCATGAGATAACCAGACTTAGGCCTTGATTCATTAGAATTGAGCCCATCAATGCTAAAGGTCACATAGGCTGTTTGACCTGCAAGCTCACAATTTCTTAGTAACAATGAGGCATGTTTATAGCATTTTGTTTTCAATTCTACAGCAGGATGCAGGACCTGTGAGGACTGTGGAGGCACTAGGAACCCCCTCCCCACCACCAGCAGCTGCCCAGAGAATGCAGCCCCCTCCTTCATGTGTGGGGCTACAAAGGCTGCTGTGCCTCCCAGGCCTGCTCCTCCTCACCCAGCTCTTATGCAAACTGCCGTGTCCACCTGCAGCATCTCTACTTTATCCTCCCAAGAGTCCCTCCAATCGCACGCAACAGTACCAGGCAGGATGCCCGATGACCATAAGCACAAATGAGAGCAGAGGAACTGGATGCATCAGCGTTTAAAACTGCCGCCCATCAGGCTAGGAGAAGACAGCTCCAGCCATAGAGCCTGAGCAAAGATGTGAATAGCTATTTCAAAGAATGGCCCATAGATAAGCAGGTAAAAAAAAAAAATAACCCCAATCACTAAGGAAATGCAAATGAAAGCCACAATGTGATACCACCAGCACAACCACTAGAATTTTCTAGGCTAAAAATAGACTGACAACATCACATGTTGGGGAGGATGGAAAGTAGTCAGAATGCTCACGGCTTACTCAGGCCGTGTCACCATGGTGCCCCTGCTCTGGAAAAAAAGATACAGCAGCTTTCTACAAACCTAAACAGATAACCTGCTCAACGGCACAGCCTAGGCTTCCATGTGAGAAACCAAAGTCCCCAAATAGACTTGCTAAAGGATGGGCATCACAGCTTTACTCTTGAGCGCTCAAAACCCGGTTGGTGGAGTCTTTTACGGGGAGAGCGGAAAAACAGACTGTGGCATATGCACCCAACAATCACCAGCAGTGACAAAGGACCAGTGACACACATGGCCACATGGAGGAATCGCAGGGCGCCGTGGGGTGAAGCCTTAAAGCCGGACTGTGTGAACCCGTCTCTGGAAAGATCCAACAGTGCAGTGAGATGCCCACACTGGCTTGTGTCATCGGCGCTTTTCACAGAGCACTGGAGAAGAACATGACTCAATGGGGAACTCTAACTAGTGACTGGTCGCTGGGGTTGGCAACCTCCTTTGAAATTCACAAAAGTTCAAGATTCCTGCCTAGGTATGGGGGTAGAGAGTTCAGCAACAAAGCAAACACAGAAAAAAAAAATTAAGGGTGAATGCAAGTAAATGAGAAGGTCCAAAAGCTTTTCTATGTATTATTCTTATATCTATTTGAGAGGAGCGGTGGGATCATTCCACTGGTTCACTTCCCAAATGCCCAAAAGAGCTGGAGCTGAGCCAGGACAAAGCTAGGAGCTGTGACCCCGTCCAGCTTTTCCATATGCGGAGCAGGGACCTAAGTGCTTGAGCCATCGCGGCTGCCTCCCAGGGTGTACGTTAGCAGGAAGCTGGAGTCAGGAGCAGAGCTAGAATTTGAACCCAGGCCCTCCCATATGAATCGAGGGTATCCACTTTGGGTGTTAACTGCCGCATGCACATGGATGTTGACTACAAAACTCTTCCCGCCTCTCTGGATGCGTAAACGCTACAGTGATCCTCTCCCCACCCTCAGAGGGTGAAGCTGGTCTCGGTACTAGAAGCTCCGGGCTTCGGTGGATGCTGCACAACTTTTGGGCTTCAAGCTAATCACCTGTGAAAAATGAACACTTGTCTTCACCGACGATGGATATTGTGGAAATTCACTGGGTGCACAGTCCCTGGCACACACACCTCTTGATTTTGAACTTCTGATTTCCACGACTGTGGAAAACATACCTTCCTCTGGTGATCTGCTCCTGCAGCCCCAGGAAATGAGCACGCCTGACCTACACCTGAAAGTTCCACGCAAAGATGAAGACATCGAGGTGCATAGTGAGGTTCAATAACTCACCCAAGGGCACAGCCAACCAGCGGCTGGGCTGGGATTCAAACCCGGACAATCTGGCTCCCGGGCCTGGGCTTCTCACCAGCCCTCCCAGCTCCTAAAAGGCTTTTCCAGTTTCCTGTGTTTGTGTATCCTTGTAGCACCCCAGCAAGAAAGGCTGTCCAGTAAATGTGTGCTGTCCCACTTGAGAACATACACAAACACCCAAGACATACAAACACACAACGGAAAAGCTTTCAGCAGCCTAAGTCAGACATTAAAGACACTTCCTGCCGAGAAGGACGGGCAGTGTCTCAAATGTTTCTACTAACCCTGCATTACTTCTGCCATTGAAAGTCATCATAAACATACGATTCTGTTAGGGAGGGCACCTGGCCCAGTGGTTAAGACCCTGATTAAGACATCCACATCCCATACCATGGTACTTGGCTTTGCTAGGCTTTGCTTGGCTTTGATTCTAGCCCCTGACTCCATCTTTCTGCTAATGCAGACCGTGGCAGGCAGCAATGACGGCTCAGGTAGCTGAGTTCCTGCCTCCCAGCTGGGAGACCTGGACTGAGTTTTCAGTTCCTGGCTTTTGCCCAGGCTTCGCTTTGGCCATTGTGAGTATCTGTGGAATAAACCAGAGGATGGAAGCTCTCTTTCTCTACTTTTCAAGTAAATAAATACATAGTCTTTAAAAAGAAACACCAGGGACTGGTGTTGGCAGGTTAGCTACTGCCTGTGCTAACTGCATCTCACATAGGCACCTGTTCAAATCCCAGCC